TTACAAATATTTAATGTTTGAATGCATATGCATAATATTTAATATGTTACTGTTAATATATTAATTTAATGTGTTTTATTGTATTTAGTCTACATATTAAGAAATCATATATAATTTATTATATTTATAATATATTAAAGTGTATTATTATAGAATATATGTATTTTATTTATATTATATGTAATACTTGTTTACTTGTTTTTTATCTGTTTCTCCCCCCAGTATGTAAATACCACTAGTTTTAGGGCTTTATCTTTCTTGTTCCACTCTGTATCTCTAGCACAGAAGAAAAGAATGCCAGGCACACAGTATACAGCTAGAAATTATTTAGTAAATGAACGCATGAATGAGTGAACCTTACTTAGCACATCTGGAAAATGTAGCTAATAATATCTTACCTCCTTGACTATAGGAGTAGGTACCAGGTAATCTTCTAGATTCCCTTCAAGTTCTCAAAATCTGTAATTTTTCTGGACCCTTTTGAATCACCACCATACCCAGCTTTGTATTTTGAAACCTACAGATGAAAAGCTGCTGAATTTTCTTCCCGTTTTTGCAGGCGAACTGCAGAGGAAGATTGGCCTGAAAGTCCTTGAGATGAGAGGCAATGCGGTAGTTGGGTACTTGCAGTGCTTTGACCTGGAAGGCGAGTCTGGGTTGGTGGTGCGCGCCATAGGAACAGCGTGCACGCTGGATAAATTAAGTAGCCCAGCGGCACTCCTTCCTGCCTGCAACTCCCCGTCCAGAGAGATGAAGGAGTAAGTATGAGTTGGTGAAGTGTTCTTACAGAGCTTTTTATCTTTTGCATACATGTTTTCATTTAATTTGAAACATTTTAGTAGAGTGGTTCAAAATACATTTTTTCCTGTGGCAATTTTACTTATCAGAGATGACTATCAAAATTTGAAACTTAGGTCTTCCTAGTATTTTTTATACTGTCTTGTGGAATTCATATTAAGTAATGTATAATTAAACTTGTTCTACATCTTTAGGCACTGTGTACCTAAAGCATAAAATGAACATTTATGCATTGTGGGGAATTTTACTTGTTGTATGGGAAATGCTTAATACCCCATACCTAATAATCCAATTATGCATATTATTAGCAACATAGTATAGAAAGCAGGGAAGACTGACCTGTTCAGTGGTCTTAAACTTCAGTGTCTACAGAGGTCAAGCAATTATAGAAATAAAATAATTGGGTATAATTAAATGGTGAATACTGGGACTGCATAGAGTAGATGTTGGCAAACTTTTTCTGTAAAAGACCAGATAGTAAATATTTCATGCACTGGACATATAGTTTTTATCTTTGTTTATAAAAAAAAAAAAAAAAAAGAAATTTGCTTGTTTTGACCTAAAGGAAGTTAGAGTCTCACATTGTTTAAAAAAAAACTCCATCTGATCCAACAACACATTTCTGTTGGCTTGATTTGGCTTATGTGTCATCATTTGTGCTTAAGGCAGAGATTCTCAACATGGTGCTGGTGCTATCAAAAAGGAATACTTGAAATGAAAATTTTCTCTTGTAATATTTGGGGTAAGGTGGATGATTCTATTGGGGATCAGAAATGCTGCCTGTTCTGCAGAGCAAGGGACAACTCTATACAACGACAAAGACTTGTATTTCCACTGAGAACCATTGCTCTAGAGATTCTTGTAGATCACAGGTCAAAAAACTTTTTTCGGTAAATGACCAGAATGGGAATAGCAAAGACTCAACTTTGCTGTTGTTGCATGAAAGCAGCCAACAATACTTTGCAAATGAATGGGTGTGTCTTTTGTTCCAATAAACCTTACTTATTTTTGAAAAACGAATGGCAAGATGAATTTGGTCTGTACTGTGTAATGTGCTGACCTCTGACTTTCATCATCAGGGAGTCAGGGTTCTGTAGTCAAAAAACCCAAAATGTTTCCTAATTCAGCAGTAAAGAGAGGTTGCCTAGAAAGCAATCACAATGTTTTTTCAAACAGTCTTTATAAAGGTGAAATTTTTCTCTTTGTCTCAACTTATTCTTTTTAATTATTTCTTTCTGCTGACCTTTAGTTATTAGAATTAAATTTTAGTCACAAGAGAGAGCACAGTGTTACCCGTATGCTACCTAATTTTATTTAGAAGTATTGATAAGTGTAATTGTTTTAAATAAGTTGAGTGAATTTGCTTTGTATTCCATTTAAAATATGTCTTAAAAAAGGTGTGAACTACCTTATGCTATAGATAAAGTCAGATGGCAGATATTACCTTTTGGGGGATTGAGATTTTTTTCTCTTTCCATAGCAAATTTACTTGAAGACCTGGGTCCCTTCTTCCTCCACCCTCCTGCTTTATCTGTACTGCCTGAAAGGGCCTGGCCTTTGCAACTGTGATGTCTGAAGTTTTCCTCTTTTTACTAAATTACTTAGTGGAAAGAAAGCTGCAGTACCTGTTGTTGTCTTAAAATGGTATATGGATAGTAGGGAAATACATTTTGCCTGCGTTCAGGGGGAGTTCCGTTAATAGTAAACTTGAACTTATCTAAGTTTTCCCTTTTTCTAATTTTGTTGCAGCCATTTGCCTTAAATTTTCAGATATTCACACCATGATGAATTTAAGTGGCTTCATTAAGATTTTCTGATGACATCTTATTACTTAAGTCATGTTATTTAAAAAAAAAAAAACTTTCAACCAGCTTCTTTGTCTTTTTGATAAAAAATTAGTTTGGGTGCTAGTTTAAAATTGTTTTATGAGTCATCTGATTGTATTACTTTGCTATTTAATTTTAACTTTGTTGATTCTAGACAGGAATTTGATAAAGGTAGTTTGGATTATGTTCTTGTCTGAATGGATTTAATGTTAAGAAATACCACTAGCGTATTCTTGTAAGGCAACCTTTCATATAAGACCAATAAGAATTAGGGGTCCAAGAATACATTAAGGTGATGCTCCCTCCACTGTGCTTGGATTTTAATTTGATGTCATAATTTGAACATTTAACAATGTTCATTTTATTTTGCTTTTATTAACCGTGTGTTCTATTCCATCAGTTTGTTTCATTTTAGATATGTGGTGTATTACAGAGTATAAATCTCTTTGGTGCTTCCTAGTTGAACTATCTTAATGGTAGAAAGTACATTTAAATATGATTTATCAATTCCCTACTTTTTTAAAAAAAGTACTTTTTAGGAGCTTTTAGTTATAGTTTCTCCTCTGTATGGTGCTGATCCTTAGACTTTTTGACTCCATTAGTCTCTTGAACAGAGAAAGAAAAAACAAAAATGAAACCTCACTCAGTTGCTTGTATAGAAATTGGTCACCCGTGAGATATTTGATTTTTATTATTTAAACACTTAAAAATTTAAGTTAGAAACAAAAGCAGAAACATTTGTCCTACAGTAAAAGCAGTGATATTTTCAGAAAGTAGTGGTCTGTAAAGGACCGCTGTTGCCAGTTAATGAGAACTCATATTTGAATCTTGACAAATTGTGACTGTTGGGAATGTTCACTGGGCAATGGAAAGGAAGAAAAGCCAGGAAAAGTTGTGCTCTTGAATTACTTTTAATTTGAATTCTGAAAAATGGGAGCATGAGAGCTTTTCAGACTATAGTAACTTATTTGTTTCTCTCCATTGTACATTAGGGAAGGAATTGCACAGCGAAATAATTGATTATATGAAGTCCAGGATTCTTAATTATATAGTATGCTTTTTTTTTTCTTTCTTTTTGGGCATCCATTGAAACTGCTCTTTCAGCTAAATTTCTTTGTGAAAATTTTAAATGTCATAGATGAATGTATACCTGTGTATCTGGTCTAAATATGTATCTTTACATGTACATAGATGTGATCTATTGCAAGATATTAGTTGATGTCCTACAAAGTTTCAATTCAGAATGTAGTTGAAATAAATTCTGTTTAAGTTTAAATAATACTGTCTGTATGAAAGTTACGGAAGAGTCATTTATATTGTTTAATTAATATTTTTACTTTTTTAAAAGCAGTGTTCCTTTGCTTTGTTTTGTTCCCATTGTAACCTGGTTTTAAGGTAGACATTTGGTGTGCAGAAATAGGGATGATTGGATATACATATATATTCATTTCACTCATTTATCTTTATGCTGTCATTTTTCATATTCTTATGTACCCCAGTCTTGATATTCTAGACAGAAACAATTCTGTTGTTTAACTTTCTTTATAGAAAAATATAATTAATTATATTAGCAATTATTCATATCTCAATTTCAAAGGCCATGTAAGAACTTCATATTTGACTTTTAATTTTTATGGGTATTTTCTTCCTGAAATACTGTTCAGTAAGCTCAGTGGTGATCAAAATAATAACAGACATTTTAAAGTAACTAAAAATCCAAATCGTAGTCGTTTTCTTATTCCACTGACAGTTCTGCTTGCTGTTTTTCTTATTCACAGTCATAATTTATTAATCTGATTCCTAACAAATTAATATCTAGCTCTTCTTTTTTTATCTCAACTTGTTTTGTGCATGCTAGGGATAAAAAAATAATCCTCTCCCCTAACTAAAGCTCGTTTGAAACTTATTTTAACATAACTTTGCTATCTGTTGTATGTATTGTTTTCTTTTCTTCCACTTTGACCACAAACTCCCTCAGGTCTCCGCTGGTTCATCCTCCAAGCCATGGATGCCGCTCGACTCACAACAGCCCAATTCACACTGCTACTGGCTCACGACTTACTCAGAACTTCTCTGTGTCTGTTCCCACTCTCATCTATACTGGTACGAGACTGCTCAGGCTCCAGAGCTGGGGAAGCAGGCCCCGGGCACAGTGGCTGCGGAGGGCAGGCAGGCAGGTAGCGCAGGCAGGCCCCGCTCCTCCTCGCGCCCTGCTTTTCTCACCCCGGTCCGGCGGCCGTGAAGAACCCTGAATTTAGCCGCCGCAGAGGCTCTAGCTACATGGAAGTGAGAGTGTTCTTCCGGCTTCCAAAGTCTCTTCCATAGATCCCTAAGAACCCCATCTTGTGTGTGTGTGTATATATGCACATATATATACACATACGTACAGATACTGGGAGTTTGGGGAGAATCCTCCAGTGTGTATTTTTGCCATTATTTCTGCATTAGAAATAAAATAGATAATTGGAATCAAAATAAAATAGCTGCCAAAACTTCCAATTTGCTTATTTTCTTTATGTACAAAGCTTGTCACAGTAGGGTCTGTTTCATTCTGTGGAAGAGAGCTGTTGGAAAACAGGTAAGCGACTCCTGTGCATAAAATGCAATATCTCTGTGTAGCTATATTCATTTTCCACTCTGCTGTGTTTTTAGCTGTGGCACTCTTGATGCTATAGGATAAGGAAACATGTTTTTTTTTTCCAAGATATTCGTGTGTGCAAATATAAAAACTATTGTGAATATTTACACACACTGTTTGCAGTCACCATTTTTTATTTTGTAACTTAAAAAAGCATTGTTTGTTTGAAAATATTTTTAATCATGTATTGATCCTTTTTGTTTATTTCTTCTTTTAATATTTTTTTACCCCTTGAGTCTGCCATTTCATGCTTTTTTGCTTTTTCCCTTGGCTTATTAACTGTTTCAATGCAGATAATTACTTATCTGGAGAGTGGTGAATGGTTAAACAACAGTTGGATGCCTTTGGCCTCAGACCCAGCTCCACACTTAAGAAATGACTACTGGCCCTGCCCCAATCCTTCCCTGGTGTTTGGATCATGCTGCCTCTGTCAGGTCCTTTGGCACATGATTGCTTAATATTTCTCCACCTTCTTCTGGCAGGATTCCCTTCAATGAAGATCCCAATCCCAATACTCACTCATCAGGACCCTCAACCCCTCTGAAAAACCAAACTTATTCCTTTTCACCTTCCAAGTCCTACAGTCGACAGTCCTCTTCTTCTGACACAGATTTGAGTTTGACACCCAAAACTGGTAAGGCACTTCCACTCACCTTTTCTTTTTTTCTTTTATTTTCCAGATTTGTTTTTTGTTCTTTATTAGCTTTCCATCCAAGCCTTTCTTCCTGTTTTTGGCATTTAAGTTAAAAGATAATGGAAATACTGATCATTTTCAGTGATTACAATTAAAATGTGAAAACTTTGTATAGTTCAGAAGTTATTTTGTTTAAAGCATGACATTTTGTTGATTTAATTATAGTTTAGATATGAAGTCCAGGATTTATTTTTGCATGTAGACATTTTTCATTTCATGCTCCAGTTAAAAGGAATAACATCTCAAAGCATTTGAATAGAAAGTAACACTAGTAGCTTGCAATCCAGTTCCTCGTGCAGTATAAACATTTTTGAATTCATTGTTTCTATTTTGAAATTTAATTCTAAGATTTTATTATGAAAAAATCTTAAAAATAGCTGATATTGTTATACTAGAGTATATATATTTGTTAGCTTATTATTTAAAATGTTTGGTTTTACTAGTTGTATTCTCTAGGTTAGAAAATAACATTTACGCTTTACTTATTCTTGCATATTTCTCAGTGTATGAAATTTATAATTTTTCCCTCTCCTATTTGTATTTTGCTGATCTCTCAGTTTTGTGAATATGTTTTATGATAAAAACTGATTAATGAATCAAATTAGTTTCTTATGCCTTAAAATAAAATTAGCTTATTTAAATCATCAAATTAATATTCTTAAGAAAAATAAAAGATAAATGAAACATTTAAAAGTTAATAGTTTGCAGTTTTTGCAAATAGCATGTTTGGGAGTTTCCTTGACAGATTGAGGAAAACATTTTGCCTAGTTCATGTGTTATTTTTAATTTGTAATCTTTAATAACTTTATGTTAGACAAGAAATTTAGAACATGACCACAGATTTTATGAAAATAATGAGAAGAAATCTAATTCTAGAACCAGTGCTACTTTCACAGTAAAGATAGAGTGTTTTTAAAAAGCCTGTAGTCATAATATCTGGAGAAGGAAATAACAACAGACTCTAGTATTCTTGCCTGGGAAATACCATGGGTGGAGGCAGGCACCTGGCAGACTTCATAGGGTCACAAGAGTTGGACACAGTTTAGTGACTAAACCACCACCACCAGACACAATATTATTTTTTATAAATGTAGTCACAAAATGTAAAGAAGATAATTATTAATACCTAATTCTTTGAAAGGCATTACTTTATTTTTACATGTATAGCTATGAACAACAACAAAATAATGAAATAATGTGATATTTGATAGTAATGAATGCTGTGGGATGTGACATCTTAACCATATTGGTGTCATAAAAACTGAATCATTGAAACTGTAGGGAGGTGGGGGTGTTTTGTTTTTTGGTTTTTTTAAATTTTGTTTTTAAGTAAAGAATAAGATTCTGGCTTTGAAATTCATAATATCAAAACAATAAGCATGTAGCATAACATTTGATGAGTAAGTTTTCTAAATTTTTTGAGACTTTTCCACTGCTTGTTCATTTTTGTATTTCAAGCCACTTTTCAGTATTCCTTCTCTTTTTTTTCTGCCGTGCTACAGACACGTTTTTTAAAGTATTTTCCTTTGTCTTTCTGCTTCTTTTTAATTCACCAAGAAAACCAAATCTAATGAAGATTGTCAAGTAATAAATTAACCAAACCAGACTTCTGTTCCCTTAGCTTTCTAGTAAGCAATCAATTGTATTATCAATGAAAACTTTTTTGTATTTTCAAGCTCCCAAATTTTTGGTTTTTAAAAATTCATTTACAAAAAAAAGTATTGTCCTCATGTATTTCTATATAAGCTACCTCTAAGTAAATTATTTTGTTTTGCCTGTAATTATTCACTATCTCAGTTGCATTTTTATAGGATATTTAACAGTTTTTAGGTGCTTGTCCTTATCATGGATCCTTAATACTTCTGAAAAAGTAAAAGTGTTAATTGCTCAGTCCTGTCTGCCTCTCTGCAACCTCATGGGCTATAGCCTGCCGGGCTCCTCTGTTCATGGAATTCTCCAAGCAGGAATACTGGAGTGGGTTGCCATTCCTTTGTCCAGGGGATCTTCCTGACCCAGGGATTGAACCCAGATCTCCTGCATTGCAGGCAGATTCCTTATTGTCTGAGCCACTAGGAAGTATTCCTATTTTTCATGGAGACTGAAAGTACCAAAATTATGAATGTTCTAAAATTTCTAGAGCTGTAGGTCAGCATGTATTTCATGATAGATTAGTTACTCATGGTTGATTAATTATATGTACATTGGGAAACAAAAACAGAGTAGAATAAAGTTAATAGAACTTAGACTGAGAAAGTTGTTTTTCTGTTTGTAGTTAAAGTTGTCATCCACCTTCAGATGAGTCTTGTTTTAAAAAAATTTCACGTTTGTTTCTGTAGATTTTTATTTTTTGACATTTTACCAGATTTTCTTTTCTTTTTTTTCAAGTATTCAACTAGGAGAAGTGGAATTTTAGAATGCTAGTGTTAAGATACTAATGTGACATCTGACTCAAGATAATTTTTACTTTTTTTTGATCAGGCTTTTTGCCATGTATGTTTTTTGTGATTCAGAGCATATTCCTTTGACTCTCGGGTACTCAAATCTTTGTAAATGCAAACAGTGCTATGATGAGATTTGGGTATTTAAAATTTTAGAGGGAAAAAAAAAGCATTCACATACATCCTGAAGCAGGATGGAAGGAAGTTAATATTTTATTTATTTAAACTTAATGACGGCTATCTGCTTAATGTGGCAGCAGGTGTTTGTTTTTTTTTTCAATTAAAATACTCATAAGTCAGACGTGTTTTAGTTAGTAACATTGGAAGAACTATACTCTTACCTCTTTAAAAAAGTTTTTGTATTTGAGACAACACATTTCTGGCTTAAAAAAATGTGATCCATTTTAACTTTACACAGTCTTAAGCAAAAAGATGGCAAGTAATTTAAATGTTTTTAAGGAGTCAGCTAAAAGTAATCAGAATGGCATAAAATCCTGTTAACCGATTTAAAAATATTTAATGAGTGCAGAGTTTGTAAAGGTTTTGTTAAGTTTTAGACTATGCCTTTTATTTATATTATGTTGAACAGATGATCTTGCTAATGACTTCATATGCTTACTGTAATTTGTGTATGCATTTTACAGTTCATTTTTACTGTTACGTTTTGCTTCACCATTGCTTTCCTTATCCTGCATTTTCTGGTCATCTTCTGAATCTGCATCTTTTCTCTGCTACTTTCCTCCACAGCACCTTACCCACAGGGGCCTAGGATTTACCTGTGTCCCAGCTCCCCCTCTCTCCCTTGTGGGTCCCTTCATCTTAAAAAGTCCTGTCTCCTCCTCTCGGAATCTAGCCTTCCCCCTCATCCTTCTAGCCTTGTCAGCCCAGTTCTGAGGAAAAGTGTTTCTTTCAGTGAAGAGCTGTTCCTGGCTGCTTCTGGTAGGATCATATTATGTCAGCTTTTTAATCCCTTTATTCAAAATCATCGTTGAAAAAAATTAATTATTTCATACTATACAGAAGTATTGAGTATTTGACACAGAATGTATTTCTTATTTTTCTTATTGGCAGACAGAGTTAAGTGGTTAAAATTACCATGAGAACACGATTGAGGATTACTTGATGGATAATTATGAATATTCTGCTAAATAATCTTATGTATTAAAAATTGTATGTCTAAGTGCTTAGAGCTGCGTATTTCCAGTAATTACTAGGTTCTCATTACTAGAATTTCTGTTTTAGATGCTTTTACTTTCTTTCCCTTCACACCAACTCCATTCACGTTGGACCTATGCCATCATGTTGCTAAACCATATGGTTACATTAGTAAATTATTCTGTTTGAATCAGTTTAAGTCTCATTTTGGTGATATTCTTCCACTATCCATTTTTTTCTGGCCATTGCATTAATTTTCAAGTTATTCTGCTCTATTTTCTGATATTTCATTTATCTCTACCAAATTACATTTTATTTTATGACTTTCAATACGCTTCATATGAAGATCTTAGTTTTGTTTCTGTGTTTAGTATTGTATAGTCTCTAAAAATTATGTTTAGATTACTACAAGAAAAATACATTTCTTTTTAATTTTTAAAGAACAAAATGGGACTATACACATGCTAACTTTGTTTCCTTATCCAAGAACAGCTAAAAATATAAAAGTAAATTAGTTCCTTTCTTAAGTCATTGTAGTAAATATGCTTGCATGTATCTTCAGGTTTAAAAGGTGGGACTAAATTATTAGTTTGTAGAGCACTGGCTTCTCACCTGCCCCCTGCTTTCTGTAATTCTTTGACCATAGTTGGTCTATTAGTATTATCAAAAGAACAAAATAAGGAAAGACATTTAAATTTATGCCTTAAAAATAAATACATCTAAGAGCTTGGGAAATGTAATTCTTTCATCCATAACCATGTACATTTGTGATGTGTCTATTATATGTTTTAAGTTTTTAGTTTTTAAAAACTATATCAGTTTTTGCAAATGAGTTGTATGATATGAATATTAATGCTATTTTGTAATGAATATTATATTTATGAATGCAAAATTATCAGAAAATAGATGTGACTCTATTTCAAAATTGCCTAAAATTCATGCTCTTTAGAGAATTTTGGAATATTTTAAGCTCAATTAGTGCTTTCTCTATATATATATATTTACTTTGAAACAAACATTTAATGTTTCTCTTATTTCTTTTAGTACTCTTCACTTGTTAGCAGGGTATAAATAATTGATATTGCATTGATTTTTTAATTAGAAGATTCAACTTTTAAAATTGAATATTATATAAAAAGTTCATCACCTTAATGTAATTTTAAAATTCATTTTTAGAATAAATTAAGTCCACACTCACTGATCAAAATTTTGACATGTTGCTTCTAAAGAAAACCTTATGAATAAAAAAAGAGTATGTGCTTAGTTGCCATCACAAATACTTCAAATGTTTAGATTTTTGTTTTTAACAGATTTTGTTCATGATATTTATGAAGATAAATGCAATTAAACTTTCTATGTCTCTAGTTGTTTTTGGTCGTTATTTACATACTGATGTTCTGTAGGAATGGGAAGTGGTAGTGCTGGAAAAGAAGGGGGGCCCTTTAAAGCTCTTTTAAGACAACAGACTCAATCAGCATTGGAACAGAGGGTAAGGTTCAATCAATATTCTTTCTTCTTACACTGTTAATATGATTTTATTCTCATGCTTCTATGTACTTACAACTTGTTTTCATATACTAGTTTTGATTAATATTGTAATTTCAATCCAAAAGGTATCACAGTAATTTGCTTATAAATGATTACTTTTAATTTTGAATAATTCTATAACTATTTTTGTCTTATTTCCCAAAATTATATTAGAAATAGTCTGTTTGGAAATAACCATTGGATAATGAAATCATTTCTAATTTTACATTAGAGTTTAATATATAAAAGGAAATAGTGGATAATTTTCTAGAAAAAAGTTTATTGGTATTGTATTAAAAATAATTCTTTAGTATATTAACATATTTGCTGAGATAATTTTTATCAGTGGCTAGTCTCTTTGGGATTAAGAAATGCAGATTCCATATTTTTACATATTAACATAGATATTATAATTGTTCAGTATGTGACTACATCTCTTTTAAGTACTGTAAATTTATTTAATTAAATATGTTGTATGAAGAGCTAAAGTTTTTGGATGATTTTCTCTCTTTATTTTTTTGTATAAACTTCATTGCTAAGGGAGGATCGCCTCATAGGTTCTGTAGAAGGCGGGTATGTTTCTGAACATGTGTGAGAGCCTATTTCATGTATTGGTAGCTTTTCTAGTTTTAATCTTGATCATTTAAGTTTTATTTAAGCTTTTAACAAATGTTGCCAGCTTTTTTTCTTTTCATAATGCAAAATTGTTTGTTTTTTGTTTTAATTTAATGGCACTATGAGGCTCATGTTTTTTTTTTCCCCCCTAACTAATACAGTGCATGGTTTTATATGTCATGTCAGTTATTTTAAGACACAGTTCCATAGCTTTCATTATGTCTGATTTGGAAGTTACAAGCATTTACAGAATTTTTCTTTTACGTGTTCCGTTTTATACGAGCAGTAAAAAAAAAAGATTAAACACAGCAAATGTCTGTAAAGGGATGCATTTTATAAAACAAAGGTATTTATTTGCTATAAGTTGGCTTTTGACAGAGTGTTTTTCAGATCCTATTATTATAAACAATACAACAGGTAATTTTTTTAGATTTTCTTTCCTTGTGCTGAAAGTATCTGTGTGTGCAGTTATAAAAATCGGTTATAAAAGTCTGGAGAAAACAGAGCTGAACTCAACTTGGGATATTGGTAGGACTTGGGTGGTATCTAGTTCTTTGCCTTTCAGCTAGTACTGTCACATCGGCAGGCATATCATGCCAACGACTGCCATCAGATAGCTCACCTAAACACTCAAACTATACATTGAAACCAAATATAAAGAAAGACTAACAACATGGGGAAGAGGATCAGAGTTAGTGAGTGTCACTTAGTTTTTAGGCCAGAGAACTCTTATCGCCTGCCCCCTCCCAGTGTTACATATTCTGGAGTCCCTTAGGCTAGGAATACTTTCTGTAATCTAATTACCATTCTAGAATTCACATGAACAGAAAAACTTGACTTGTCTTGACATTTGATATAATGAGACTTTGCCTGTGTGTTGAGTCCATGACTCTCCTGTAAAAAGCACCTAGTTTTAAAAGACAAAAGAAATACTAATCAATGAAAATGCTTTGGATTTAGTTTGGGTAAAATTTATGTCTTCAAATATGCTTTCAAACATTCTTAAACTTTTGGGCACATTAACACATTGGACATACCTTACTAAATAATCCTTGAGGCATTAACAGCAGAGATGTGGAGGACTATAGTTTTCATTTACCACTCTGTAAACTTCAGTTGGCAATATATTTACCTTATCAAACCTTGCAGTGGCAGTGAGTTGTATTTGTGAGCCTCCTCCTACACTCTGTACATAATAGGTAGAAAAAGCATTGTCCTGCTTGGTTTCCCCATTTACCTGTGACTGCCATCAGTATCAGTATGGGAAAAATTTGTATAGAAATAATGAAGAATTCTCCCTGTATGTGGTCACTTATGCTTTAACTCTGCCAAGTTGAACACTAGGTCAAGTTGAACATACCTATTTACCATTTTATATATTCATTTAAAAAATATTCACTTCGGCCCCTTGCTACCCTTAATAAATTATATAGCTTTTTGTTTCTTGTGGAAAAGAGGAACTGTATTTGTCCATCATCTTTTATTTTGAGTTACTCAAGTAGCAGTTATCAAAAATAAAAGTGCTTTTTTCTTCCTCTGTCACAAAAGCATTAAAAAAAAGTTGACAAGATCTTGGTAATTGGTATCAGATTATTGGGAGGTAAAAGTTTAGATTAAGGTTCTGCCTGTGAAGTATTTGCCGTAAAGCAAATAGATTTATTTTTCCAATATGATTCTTTTTTAACTTGCCAGAAAAATGAAGTTACTTTTTAGATTCTGGAATGTATATTTTTCTTTAATAAAGAATCCTAATTGACGTAGTTTAGCTTAGTATTTCCCAAGAAGTCTTTCCACTTAAGATGCCTATTAGGAACCCACTTTGGGAAACTTAGATTTAAAGCAGATTCTTTTGGTAAATTATGATCTTTTTTGAAGCAGGGATAAAATTATATGATAAATCATTGTAGGAACCTGGCAGGGAGTTTTGTATCTAGAAAGTTTACTATGGTGTCTTGGGATAATAAGAAACATCTCTGATTTCAAAAAATGAAATTGATTGAATATCTTCTAGAGAAAAATCCTATTTAAATCTTTTAAAAAATTCCATTTGTTCTCAGAATTTTCAACTAGCCTGCCTCTGAGCACATGCTATTAAATGACTTATGCTACATGCGGTTGGCTTATGTCAAAGCATCAGTGTATGAAGTCTTATCTAGGCTGCACAGGGCAAAATAAGGGCTTTCCAGAGAAAATGTGGTCCCTGGCATTCCCATCTGGACACTGAAGGCAGGGTGTGCTTGGGTGGATCTTAACAAAGCTGTCCTTTTCAGTGGAGGAGAACCTATAGATTCATCAGGTGTAGTGATAGACTAGAGATTAAAATCACTTTTGTGGCTCAGAGAGTATAGGCCCTCTTCATTTCAGTGTTTCACCTGAACCGTGGATTTGATAGGACATCCATCTCAGTATGGTAACATCTGTGAAGCCTAGTTTTAAGGTACTGTGCAAAGGACTGGCACGTTGGAAGTGCCATAATGGTTACTGGTGATGCTGGTGGGAGGACAGCTATTTAACCCTCAGTTGAGATACTGGTGGTAGCTCTTCTAAAAGTGTTTTTTGCCAATCATAGTTTGGGTTGAATAACAATGCCATTTTAATTCTAGGTTAAAGATTTTATAACTTCCGTATTCTTAAAATTGAAAACAAATCTTAAGGATCTTAAGGACACAACTTAGAGACTGAACAAAAGACTCATGTTTCCAATAGTATGAGCTTGTCTGTACATTTCTCATTTAAAATTTATATGTAAAAAATTTAGGTGGAAATAAGGGGCTGTTTTGACTCACCATTTTATAATACTTTGAAGTAAAATTCCCCTACCTTCGTCTGCCTTTTCTTCCTTTTGCTCTACCTGTCAACTGGGTCAAACCTGTCCACTTCCACTGTTTTTTTTTTTTCATTCCCTTTTTACATAGCATAAGTTTTTCTTGCTTGTTAAAGATTACTTTTAAATTTTAATGAATTTCTGAATATGAGTGTGTGTGTGCACACACCCACACATGTATATATATTTTAATACTATACCTCATGGGTTATTGGGGTGTGCAGGACTGTTTGCTTCTGTACTAAATGACTCCAAGTTGCTTTGCTGTGTGAATTATGGTTTGGTCAGTTCACATTTCCATGCTTTAAGCAGACATTCAGTAATCTTGCTGTGGTTAATGTGCCTGCTTCTCGCAGTATTCTGTATCTCTTTATCTCCCAACTTTTATTTGCTGCATTTAATCTGCTATGGTCCAGAAAAAAAGATACCAGTAGATTTTAGAATACATTTGTAATGTTATACACTTGTAATTACCATATATCATTGTGTGAATATAGTCTGTGGGGATCTCTTAGGAATGAAATACATGAAGTTTAGTCCTTGCAACTGTAACAGTTCTTTTGACTGTTGAGAGCCCTGTTTTGCTTAATTTCCAGTTCTCAGTTATGTTCTGAATAGCTGAGGCAACTGGTAAGTGATTTGTGGTTAAGTGAGATATGTTGATCTTGCAGCCAGACAGGTCAGATATTGTTGTCCTTTCTTGCATCCAGTTTTTATCATATGAGCAGCCTCAGGAACCCTCCTTTCTTTTGGGTGCTGTTTCAATAAATTTTCTTTCTCTGCTTTGCCATTTCTTTGTTGCCTGCATCTCTTCATTTCTAAGTTGACAAATTTGATGTCCTCGAGAGAGAGAGTGAGAGAGAGGGGAATAAATCCTGGAAGAACTTGTAGAATTTGATTGCCTCCCTTGCTGTCATCTGCAAACCTCTCCCCTTTCTTAATGTGCATTTATATATTTAGATTTTTTTTTTTTTCCTGCTGCCCCCTTGTTGGTAGAGGAAATAAGCCCACACAGTAATTCTCTGCTTACTTGAACTTGACATTGGCTCTTCTCTTCACCTTTCTATGTAGCTGTTAACCTGCTCTGCTCATCCTCTCCCTCCTCCTCCCTCAGTCCCACCTTGTTTTAGACTTCCTGCCCCAGGACTTCAGAGTCTACCAGTAGCCTGGAACAGGGTAGGTGTCTGAGGCAGAGTCTCCCCCATCGAGAAGTAGGTGTGGATTGTGGTTCAGGCAGATTCCCCATCTCATTGCCAAGTTGGATCGAAATAGGCGATTGAGAGGAAAGAAGAGTGTGTTCAGATGTCTCAAATTGAAACTCTGAGAATGTTGTTTTTTTCCTCATGTAAAAGTGATAAAAAAAGGTGTTCAGGTTCTGTGTAATGTAATACATGTGGGAAAATGGATTGGGAACTCAACATCCAAGGAAGCTTTTCATTACAAAGCATCTGTAATGTATTATTGGTAGCCTTTTGTTAACAGGTAGTTTTCATTTCTTTATGACAAGCTTTTTAACAGGCACTCATTTGTACTTCACACATGGTCAGGCATATTTTCCCCCATTCTTCCTACTAGGAATTTCCATTCTTCACCCTGACGGCATTTCCCCCTGGATTCCTCGTGCACGTTGGGGGCGTTGTTAGTGCACGCTCTGTGAAGCTTTTGGATCGTATCCACAATCCTGGTATGTTCTCTAAACATTTGTTTTCCGTGTTTCATTTACGTACACTGTGATTATTATTAACACTGATTTTTATAATTTTTTAAGCTGAATTTATCCAAAAAGAAAAATGACGAAGAAAGTATAAACTAGCACACGTTGCTTTCAAATATTTGCAGTAATCTTAACTAAAAATAAGATAAGTAGAAGTGTATATTTCAGTTACTTTTTTTTTAATACAAAGCAAATCTTGATTCATTTTTGGCCAAGCTGTATCACTCTGAGGCAATCCTTAAGTCACTTTTGAGTCAGCTGTTTTCTTTGACTCAGGCAGATAACTAAATTTACAGTTTGATCATTGTGGCCATTAGCTTAAGAGGTTAGGTTAATTCTTTTCACTGGAATAATTCTTTATGGATTATTCAAGTAATTTTATTACTCATAAAAGAAGTCTTCTTTTGAAATGTATACATTGTGTAGAAAACCTAAAAGTTTTTAAAAAGTAATTATTGTCTTTGGGTCCTTGGTTTCTTTCAGTAGCTATTTATTTCATATAAGCAAACAGGAGAAAATAGCAGCTTCTTTAAAACATGAACCTTGATTATAAAAGAGAAAAAAAGCATGCAAGTCCTGGTGATTTCAGACCCTTGGATTAAAAATGCTTTGCTGATTTTTCTAAATCTAAAATAAGCATGAGACGTATAGTAGGAACTTTCCCTGTGGAACCTGTTGTATCTCTCATTGACTAGATGCCCAGTAACTTGCTCAAGTCACTTATTATTTTGATGACATACCTTAAACTTGAAGTTATATTAGTATTCTTACCTGGCATGTATGCAAATGTATTTTTGAAAATTGAAATGGTCACTTCCAGTAACCTCTTCCTGGGGCTTGTACTGACAGCTACGAAAAAAGAAAAATGCTTTGAAATTATTGTATGCAAAACTCAAATAGTGATTTTGAGGATACAAAGCATAACTATTCTTTTAGATTTTTTAAAAATTTAATCTGGGCCCTATAGTTTGATGTCATTTGAATTAAAACAGAATGGAATTTTTCTAGACCCTGAATGGAATTGCAGAAAAACAATACTATTTGGGATTAGTTAAACTCTAACATTGAGCAAATACATATTTTAAGTACCAGTCTTCTCTTTTTCTTCCCTGGTTTATTATTTTTTTCCCCTGTATCTTATTTTTGGGGTCAATTTAAAATCTTTTCTTTGTGTAGTATTTTCTGCACTGTGTAGTACTTAAAGGCAAATTTAAACTGATGCCGGTTTTAATGGATTGAGATCTTGAAGACTATGCCAAGTTTCATATCTGTGCATTTAGGAACTTGAATTATTTGAGAAGTGCAAGGAAATACTGAGTTAAGATACCTGACACTAACTGGGTGACCAAAGGCCAGTTACCTGTGTTTCTATGTACCCTTGACTCAAGTATTTTGATAATTGGCACACACCCATCGATATAATAGCTCCAAAAATGGTTCTAGGAATATATTCACTTATTCTTGATGGAAACATTTGATTTCATCATTGCTCCCATGTACTCCGAGTAAGCTGTAGAGTCTAGGAGAAGAAATGAAGGTTATTTAAACTAAGTTTAAGTAGAGAGCCAAGTTTTAAATTACATTACTTAAAAAAACTCCCCCCAAAACCTGCTTTTGAGCGTTTTCCATACTTGCTGGTTTATTTTTAGCTGTGTAAGAAATATAAAAGTCCAGGCCCGGGGAAGAAAACACAAGTTCTTCCTTCTTATAAAATATGATTTGTATATTGTAACCATAGCACATCCCTTTTCTTTCTCTGCTTCCCTATCTGAATATTTTTTCAGTTTACGTGGAGAAATTCTCAGTTACTAATGGTTTATTTTCCAGAAGATTATGGGCATATATAATACATATAAATACTTGTAATGTTATAAATGTTGTTTTTCAGTTTTGTTTTTATTTTCAGTTAAATGTAAATCATATTCTAGTGGCCCCAATATTACATTATTTTGATAGAATTATCACATTATTTGGGTTGTTTTTTATATATGTATTGTGCCTGAAAAAGGAACATTTGTTTAACATTTTGTTAATCTTCAGGCCCCGTAAATAATTATTTGTGAAAAAATTTTAATTTGTTGACAGAAGCTGAATGTCAGAACAAAACTCAGTTAGCATCTACCATAATAAAGATATATTAATTTTATGATTCTGAGTTACTCTGCTGAAAGAAAGTTATGACAGATGAGATACATGTGCTAATGTTAAAAGTCGTATATTTGCACTCTCAGATGAATCTTGCAGCTATTTTTTGACTAGTGAATATGGGAAATTTTCATTTCACACTAAGTATAAAAGGAACCTTATTTTAAAACGACTACCACCTGCTAACTATTGATTATTATTTTGGAGTTACTTCTTTAGAACTTCCTCTTCTTCAATATTAAACAAACAGGTCAATACAATAAGGGAGAGAATGGGATGGTTTTAAAAGGTAATTATCTGAAATAACAATTAGACTTCAGTTAATGTTAGATTACTATAGCATGTTCCTTCTTCTCTATTTCTACTTCTTATTAACTCTGCTGTCTGTCTTTCTAGTTCCTGTCAAGTGGTGTTGTGTTCTGATTGTGTTCTGATTTGTAGTATTTTTTGTTTTTTTTCCTACTATTCTGCACCTAAAACTGATCTACTAATTTGCTGTTTTGAACTCAGCCTTTGTCGGAATTATGGGTAACACAAGATCTTACAAACTGCTAGACTGGAATAGTTTCAATTCAGGTATTTTAATGGTCATTCAGTACTACATATGCTGACAAAAATTATGGCAGCTCAGTGAAGTTTTTAGAAATGTTCTCAATTAAATAGGCTTAATGTCAATTCAGTTAATACAGATACATTTTGGAATACTTATGTGATAACTTTTGTAATTTCCATGGAAATACAAATATAAAAATGTTTTTACTAAAATGAATTAATCAAAACCATAGAAATACCATGAATTATGAATGACTTCTGTTAGGTGATGAACTTTCAGAATGATAATTTTAAATTATATTTATTACATTTTTGTACAGTTTTTTTCATATCAGGTAAATGATACTAGCGTTAGTTTTATCATTAAGGGAATAGTAATTGTTAAATATATAAGTATTAAATGGCTAGTTTGTTCATCTTAAAGTATATTTAAACTTCAATTTAGATTTGAATATATTTAGTGTTCTATAAATATTATAAAACTGTAACTTATTATTTTTAATTTTTTAAAATTTATTTTAATTGGAGGCTAATTACTTTACAATATTGTGATGGTTTTTGCTGTATTCTTATTTAGAATTCTAGAAGTGTTCCAAAATTTGGTAAGTAGGAGCAGATTTTGGGGGGATTAACAGCTTTCGTAAGCTTTCCTCCCTCCTTTTCCAAATAGAATATATTTTTTCTTCCTAAGTAATTTTACATGTGAATATAGTTTGTAGCTTTTAAAGAAACTTAAGATAGCTTTACAGCTGATGATGTGGTTTAGAGTCAAAACCAATTAATTTTTCTTTTTGATAAAAAGCATGTTCTCTTAACATAAAAATATAGATATTTATCTCTATTTTAGAATTAAATAATAGAGCTGTTTTGATTCAGTATCAGAACCTGGCATTTTCCTAAAGAACTTTTTTAGTTGTGTCAGAAAATACATCTATTTACAGAAAAACAAAAGCAGAAGCACCAAGAGGCTCAACGTTTGAGCTAATATCCCATAATCTTTTCAGTGTTATAAACTTTTTTTTTTTTTAGGAGTCCAGGATGTAAGTTCTGATGTAAGTAGTGCATGTTTGACTATGAAGTAACTCATGTTCATCATGTGGATTTAACCTAAAGTCAGTCTAGTAAACAGTCTGATCTGGTCCAACCTTTGCAGATTTGGACCAACATCAATTGGTAAATCTTTGAGGAAATTACCTCTATTTCCTATCCAAGTTTTTGCCAGCATGTATCACATTGGTTAGAGTTAAAGTAATCATTTGTAATGTAATGTTTTATATTGTTTTTTTTTAATGAGAAATTAAAAATATCCTGCTGGATTCATTTAATAAGATAAGAATATATTTTAAAAAACATGGGCTGATTATGGTGGTGGGCAGAAAAAAGACTAGTTACATAAGAACAGGACATTGAGGCATCATCATTAATAATTTAAGGAGCTGAAAGTTTGTGAGGGCAACGATGTTTAAGATGAGAGATATAACAGATGATAGAACTGTTTTAGAAAGTGTAAAAGGCAAAAGTTAAATCTTATAGGCACAGTAAAGACTTTGTTCCCTGTAAACAGATTTACAGAATTTGGTGAGGAGGAACATGGTTTAGGAAGCAGTATATCTTGCCATCATTTAAAATAAAATCCAGTAGTAAGTGTAGGAAGGAAAAGATGCATATGTTACAGCATATTAAAAGAACATAAACAATGATGCTGTCAGTTTAATGTGCTTATAGTTTTATGCTTTTGATTGGGGATATTTAGAGTCTTTCTGGTAAGAACTGGTACATACTTAGAAACCAGGGTTTTTCTGATACTAGTTTCAGAAAAATAGCTTGGTAATTCTGAAAAAAAATTATATCTTTGGTAAATGTATTCAAATCATTTATATATTTTTCTCTGTAATTAGGAAATATTTAGCCACTCCTCTATTACCACAGAAAATAAAAAATTGTAGAAAAGTAGTTGTTGATACAGTTTCTATTAATGCTAGAAATCATTTATCAATACTATATTTCCTGGTCTCTCTGATACCAGCTATAATATGATATATCATTGACTTCATAAAAGCCTTCTAAGAAAAAAAGAGGAACACATGGTAGTCAAACATACTAATTATTCGACGTTTTTCTTTCAGAAACATTAAAATGTGGAACAGTATAGGAAAACATTTTGTATCACACACTAGTGTTTCATGCAAAACAATAGACCATGTGGATAGTTATTAGAATTTATTTTGTACTGTGCAATTTGCTAGATAAGAGATGTGCAAAGGTGCCTGTCCCCCTATTTTTATTCTGGGAGGATAGAAGAATATGTAAATGGCTTACTGTGTAGTATGGTGTGATACAAGATTCAGAGTTAAAGAGGAAGCTGGGATTAACTGTGTGGCAGGGTACCTTATAGAGGTAGTAATCTTGAGCTCAGTTTTGGGTAGTATATGAAGATTCACTTAGATTTATATTTCAGACAGTGTATTTGGACCCATGTTAATATATTGAGTGTAGTTCTGAAACTTCAAGCATTTGCAAAACAATATCCTAGCCATTACTCATTCAATGAAGTTTATTACATAGCTAATTCATACTTTTTATTTGCTATTAATGCAAAATGTCTTAGTTTACTTTTTTCCCCACCCCCTTTTCTTCCGCTTTGTCGTGTTACTTTGTGTTAACTACAGTGTTAACTACAGTGATAGAAAGTATTTTTATAGAGCAGGAAGAAAGGAACTCAATATTTGAAAATTTATTCAAAACTCTACCCTTTTATTACCTTGTTTCTTATTTCTTTGGCCTGTTAACAGACTTAGAGAAAGACAAAGTGAACCTTGCTACTAGGAAGGAGAATGTAACATTTGCGGATCTTGTGTGTGACATGCCAGGGACAGGAGATTCGTCGAAGACAGAATAGTCAGATTTGCATTAAATCACTGCCTACTCGTGCAGAATGACTTTAAAAGCAGCAGGACTAGAGAGAACACAGTGCGGTGCAGGAGTCCTAGCCAGGCAGTGACCTGGGATCTGAGGGTGACAGGAGAGCTGAAGTTTTGTGGTGCACTTACTGTGTACTCTTGTCAGATTTGATGGTGGTAGGTCAGTTAATCCTCAAGCACAGCCCTCACATAGGCATTCTCATTTTGTGCATGAGCAGTATGAAACATAGCCATTTGTCTGAGGTCAAATAGGAAGTGACTGAGCCCCAGTTTGAACCTTACAATTTTGGCTTCAGGGCTTACACTCTTAACCACAAATTTACAAACTGTTTAGAATGTGAAGCCTGCAGGACTTGGTAATTATGGGAGAATGTGGTGAGTGAAACAGGCCCTGTGCAACTTTCAGCTGAGAGACAGAGAAGGGTAATGATTGTCCCACGTGTCTGCAAGTCTTAACATCCCAGGGGGCAAATGACTCCTATCTTTTAGAAACTCAAGTCTGTTTGAAAGTTCAGTTGTAAATAATATTTTAAGAGTAAATTCTAATAGCCCTAGCTCATTACTTCTCAAATGTCTGTAATTTTTTTCTTCTGAGTTTACCACTAAAAATATTTCTGAATAGGTCACACATAGTTTCTTACTTAGTAACAATCTCAGTGAGTTGAGGATAATTGGTTATTCTTTACTGTGTAGGATGCATGTCAATTACATAACTTTTTTAGAAGTGACAAGAGGAAATTTAAAGTAGTTACATAGTGTCATTTGAAAAATACTAGTTTGAAGTAGCTTATGAACTTAGACAATATTTTTAAGAGTGTTTTAGTAAGTTAGTAAGAGTGTTTTACTGAGTAACGCAAGATGTTTGAATAGCCTTTCTTTTGTTTTTGAGCATATTCTAAAAATATTTTTTCTTTTTTTACTGTTTTAGACAGATTGTAGGTTTTAAGACTTATTAGACTGAAAATTTTCTCAATCTTACAATGAATGAACTTGAGCTAATGATAGACTTAGTGGTTTAAATTTAGAAAATGTTACTACTCTTTTTCCCTTTTTTGTTTTCAGAAATATAGTTAGAAATTTGACTTTATTTTAGAGGCAAAATTAATAGTTAACATCTAAAAGTGTAGTTACTACTTTAAAAATGTTTAACAAAATATGAGTCAGCTGAGGAAATATTTATATAGGGAAGTATAAGGAAATATTTATATATAATATGCTTATCACTATGATCATTCAAATTTTTCTCCAGTAGATGTTTGTTGAGTGCCTACCATGTCTTAAGCACAATTCTGGGGATTGGAAATAACCAGGGTTCAACCAGGCAAACCTCCTGTTTACATACCAGTCTAGTCTGTTTCTTATACTACTTTGCTGTGTGTGTGTGTGTGAGAGAGAGAGAGAGAGAGAGTTAAATGGATAGACTTTCTTGGAATTTGAATTCTACTGATGATCTCAGCAGTCATTATTTTTCTACATTTGTGGGACATTCATGAGCAGATGTGCAAAGTAAGCCTAAAGTAGTTAAGCAGCATTTGGTTTTCAGTATTTTACTAAGGTTTCAGAAAGTAGATACAGAGAGTTCAAGAAGGCATAAATATAGCATGCATGACTTGTGAGCTTCCCTTTATAATGTGACATAAATGTAATATTTAATTTTCTTTCTATATATAATGTAACTGGATATTCATTACTTTTCTACTATCTGTAAAAAAAAGTCAGATGGGTTATCTCCTTTAATGTGAAATTTCACTCTTCATATATATGAAATACGTAAAATGTAACTGGATATTCCATTACATTATTATAATGTAACATGTAAATGTAATGTATCATTCTCTGTATAAAATAATGTAACTGGTCACCAGTTACATTATATATATAAAGAATGAAATGTCACAGTCAAGGAGTAAATTGCGTATTTGACTTTTTTTTTTTAAAACAAATAGTAAGGACTGCAGTTTGGTCCAACATGGACTGTACCTGAGCCACCATCCTAGTATTCCAAATTACTACATCTTGAAGTTCACTCTCAGTTTGCGCATTACTTCTTCTATAATGAGATTCTTCTTTTTAGTCTGTACTGAATTCCCAACCAGTTTGAGGTTCTATACTTCTTGAACCTGGACTCTCTAATTTCTATTCTAGTAGTGGAAATTTATCTTCTTCAAAAGGTTGTTTTGGGTTGGACTGTTACTTTCAGATATTTGAGAAGGTAGCTTTTAGTGCTGTCCATTAGCAAGATACATTATCCTTTTTCTGAAAATCCTACCTAACACTTTATCTTCTCTTGTTTATTTAAAAATTAGATTGAATAACTGCCCATTTCCTTTTTTTTTCCCTTTCAACTTGATTAAAAGGTTCCCACGGACAGAATTATTCTCTTCTAGACCTATATAAAAACTAGAACTACTAGAACTACATTTAACTCTTCAGGTAGTCAGCATTTCTTAGTTGCAAATGTGTAATTGCCTAAAATCTTGAAGGAATTGACTTTTATAAAGGCATATTATGTTGAGTTGTTCATTTGTTTACTTTTTGAGGTGTAAACTATTACTGTCATTTTAGGAATCTTTACCAGTGTCACCTGTACTTTAGAAACAAGATAAAATACTAAAAAGATGGCAAGATATCAAGCTATGGCCATGCTCTAGACAAGTAATAGAAAGACGAATTAACTGTGGTGTCAACATAAGTGTGAGGACATTACCCTTGTAAGAGGTATCAGTGAGGCATTGATCTACAACTCAGTTCATGCTTGCAATTAAAAGGATATAGTAAAAGATTTGTGATAATTATCTATGTATAATTCTGACCCTTAGAAGAAAAATACTAGTATGAAATACAACTTATATAATAAATAACTTTTAGTATCTCCTAAAATGATCATCTTTTTATGATTATCAGTAATTCTGTAGATTCTTGGGAGGAGCATGATATTTTAAGTGAAGGTATTTTTTCTTCACATCTCTGAAACGTTAATGTGCAACCCTCACATCTCAGCTGTATATCCTTCAAGTGACCAAATTGTATCCAGTTTCATATAAGGCGTGTATAGTTGCCAGTAAATTTTTAAGCCAGGTTCTTTGTTTTGCCTTTTATATAAGTATGGTAAATCCTCAGTTTTTACTTTTGTAGGGTGAATAAAACAGTTCAGATTCACTAATGTATTTCCTATAAGAAGTATAATTAACCATTTTTAAGCTTTAAGATTTCCATTAGTAGAGATTAAATACTGTGATGTTTCTGAATTTTCAGTACTAGTAAGTTAAACTGAATCCTGATTGCTACTTGAAAATTCTGTGGCTCATCTCTGACATTAAGTATAAGATAGACTTTGAAGACAAGTTTACTTTTTCTGTAATATTAAATAAATTGATTTTTCTTAATTTTATCTTAATTAACCCCTAAATTTAATAGCCAAAAAATTCATGCTTTGACTTCCTGCTCACAGTTGTAGGTAGTTATTTTAATCCAATGACGAGTTTGTGATGAAGTGCTCCCTACTGTATGCTTGCCTTGCTTTCACCTAGAATCTAGGGCCATTACTTTCTGTAACCATTTCAGTGAGCTGCCATAGTTTTCAGTCTGTACTGTCACCTGATCCAAGCATGCGCCAAAGTTTCCACTGTTTCTGGCTCCTGTCTGCTGAATCTGCTTTGCAAAACCCTTCGTTCTTTGAGCTTTTGCTTTAGCCAAAAACCAAATTTAAGAAATTCTTTGGAGTGTGGATATAACACCATTTGCTTCCTTAGCCCTCCTGTTATGTAACTCTTTAGCTTTTATTAAACTTGTAAATACTTTATTAACTACAACAGTGGCATCCCCCTGTGCAATTGTGTGGCTCATGTGTCAAAATAAAGGCTGCTTGTGAACTTGTCAGAAGAGTATGAATGTTCTACTTGCGCTGCATTCAGCTTTTTGTTGTTGTTTTTTGTTTGTTTTTTTAAATCAGCCACTTATTCTTTCATAGTGTTTGGTTTAATTATCTGATTATTTTATGTGTTCTACCAAGGTAAGTTTGATGTAGATAAACTTTGTATTCTATGTGGTTACATGTATCTCATAGTAATTATTATTACATACTTTTCCATTTAGGCATGCTGGCCTTTTTAAATAAATAGATATGGAACTTAAGTAGCTTCTTCCAAATTTTTCATTAATTAAAAAAAATATAATACTGTTGATTACATCCTGTAAAAGTTTTAAGGCAGAAAAACTACCATGTATTACTATGTAGTAAGATGTAGGTAAACCTAATGTGAGAAAATCTATTTTTATAAAAACATAGTATATGATTATTTGACTTAGTAAATATTATTGTAAATTTCCAGAATGATTTGAAAAGTAAATTGCAGGTTTTACTATTATATCTTAGAAAGTCAACTTTTCATTTTACATAGTTTTTCAGGAAAATAATTTTTTCTAAACTGAGATATAGTTCTTATTTTTGCTATCTTTTTAGAAAATCATAAGTAATTTGATAGATGGAGCAACTAGTTGAACAATAGTTTGTCTTATGATATAAAATTTCACTATTAGGAAAAGATGATGTTAATAGATGTCCAAATTGATCTGGAAACGTGTATGTCCTAAAAAGAGAGAATGGATATGAAAGTGTTTTTGTGCTCTTGATGTCTACATTTCAGCTTGGAATATGAAGAAATTCTTTAACGTAGTAGCATATGTGCAAAATAGGGCCACCTAATTGTCTCACACATTTCTGAATTCGTAATATTGATTGCTAACACCATATTGTAGTATTTTCTATTTCTTTTCCTTCTTTATCTCGTACTTTGATCTTTTCCTCAGTTTCCTGGAGTTTTGTGTCTTTTTCTTCTTTTCTGAAAGAAAGTTTTAGGGTAGCACGGTCTTGGATCTAAGACTTTAACGCAAGAACTGGCTGGCATCATTTGTAGTTCTGGTTTTTACCTCCTCACTTCTTTTTGCTGATCTCCCTGTGGGGGAAACAAAATTCCACCATAGGAATGTGAGCTATAACAAGCCTTTTAACCTTTGTTTACTTTGCTGTCTTCAGTATTTCACTAGTGAGTATGATTCTACTTATTCTACTTACTTTGAAAAACGTATTTGAAAACTGCATATGTACAGAAACTCAGAAGGCTTTTGGATTGTTGGATTTTCAGTCGTAATAGTGCCCTTTTAATGTGAAAGATTTACAGTAAGAGCATAGCATCTTATTTAGAGTTGATCAGGTTTTTTCTTTTCCAAATTGTTCCCAAATGGAATTGGCCACAAAAAAAGAAACAATTTAGGATATGCTGATTATAGACCATTTCTGTTTTTAGCATCTTTGCACATGAAAAGCTAACTATATATGCAGCTGCTGTTCATCAGTAGTTTGCAGTTAACTGCAAGTAATTAGAAGTGTATGTGACAGATGTTCCATCTATAATGCTCCATTGCAAGCAATGTTGGGCTACTCTATGGTTATAAAATGTGATCTGTGATTCAAAAGCATTTTCTTAATGACAGAGCCATATATGGAGTTACAGTGTTCTTTCTGAAATTTGTCCTTACGTACATTAACTAGATTCTTCTTGCTAATGTTTTCAGTGTATTTGCTTTCTTTATTTTGAATTGGCCAGTCCCTTTATTTCTTGTCACTTTGCTTCAGGACCTACATCTCTTTAGAAGGATGGCTACAGATGGCTTTCTGCTTTTTAATGTTGATAAGTCTATGCCTTGCAGAGAACCCAGAATGTATTGCATTATTAAAACTTAAGTACCAGGAAATGAAATCAGAATTTAAAATAAATTTATGGGTATGACTCAAGGTGCTCACTCAGTGAGGTGAGACATAGGAAGTCCTTTTAGTTTAAGATTAGAGTCTGAAAACTCCGGGTCTACCTTTCAAATTGTATCTCATAAAACAGATCCCTATAGATAGCCCTAAAGAAATAAAGGAAATAGAACTAGGTGCTTTATTTTCTAGCACCTGAATTTAAAATGTTAAACTTCGTGAGAAGTAGCATTAAATGAAAATGTTAATAAGCTTTTTGAGAAGTAGCGTTTTAAAGATGCGAAGTTTGAAAACCTGTTGTAGAATAGTAGTTCTTTGCCTTCCAGAGTATGCATACTTTACATATTTCTTGTTCAAGTAGACAATGTGCTATTGAGTAGTGAACTGATTTAAAATTTATTTTTCAGATGAACCAGAAACTCGAGATGCATGGTGGGCAGAAATCAGACAAGAAATAAAATCCCATGCCAAAGCATTAGGCTGTCATGCTGTAGTGGGCTACAGTGAATCAACTAGCATCTGGTAAATGATAACAACAACTTGATCTTCTAGATGCTGTAGTTTACAGATTGTCATCTGAAAGGGAAAAAGCTTTAATGCAGATATGGAGAAAAGAAGAAAAGTGGATTGATCCAGTTAGCATGGGCTTTTTTAGAATGCATCAGAAGGAGGTTCATATGCTATCTTTACTGCTTAATTAATGTGAAACTTCAGGAAAATTGCTCTACTCCTCCGAGCCTCAGTTTATACTTTGGAGACAATAACTACCTATCAGTTAAGGTTATTGAGGCATTAAATGAGAATATAATAATGGCACACAGCAAGTATTAACTCCAGGCCTACTGTATTCCAGTTTGTGACTCCACCAGCTCCTTCCTCTGGGATTTTGAAACCCTTAATCTTTTGTAAATGAACCGCCATGTGTCTTTCAAGTTCATTTGTAAACTCTTTCTGCCTTCATTAATTAACTATAACTTAACTTTTTCCTACCTACAAATCTCCCTAATGCTACCCAGTTAGGAAGGGACTTCCATACTCTCAGTTCTCAATTTCTTTTTCTCCTGTCTTTCATTTGGACAACCTCTTCCCCATTTAAGTCTGTGCCAATCCATTGTTCAGGGTTTTCTACCTCCAAAACCTTTTTCTGCTCTTCTTAATTAACTGCCCTGCCCATCTCCTCCAGTTAAACACAATTATTTCCCTTCTGACAGCCTGGCATTGTACTTTCTCGTTCTCAAGTCCTCTATCCTCAGTTGACTTTCAACCTTATTTTGACTTCATTATCACATGAAACTGTTCCTCTTTAAAAGTTTGAAACCATAAAATTTCACCCTTGGATCACAACCTGATACTTTCCTACCCATCCCATTTGCTTATTTATTTCTGGTTTGTTTTGACCCTTCTCTTAATCAAGAGTTTTCCCAGTTCCTTACTTAGGTTCTGACTTTACTTGCTGTCTGCCATCCTTGAACCCTATTTTCCACTCCTTCAGAAGTTGGTAATAAATGTCGTCTAGACACTGTTTGACCTTATGCTGTCTTATTTTTCCCCCTTCTGTTGGGTAATTCTTAACTGCCAGCTATTACATAGATAACTTTCTTGTGGTGGTACTGATCATTTTTGTTGGAGAAAAAATGATTAGACTGTAATAAATGAGGATGTTACAGAGCCATGCTGTTTCATTCTCTAAGGATCCTTTTTTTTTTTTCTTTGCAGACCATATATTATACTCTTTAAAAAAAAAGCTTTATTGATGTATAATAGGCATATAATCTCACATGTTTAAAGTGCATTACTTTGAAAAGTTCTCACATAACTTTTATGTGAAACCATAAACATCATGAAACCATTATTATCATGAAACCATTAGCATCAGTCATGAAACCATGAAGCCATTAGCATCATTGAGACAGTCAACACATATGTCACCACCAAAGCTTCTCTATATTCCTTTGTACTCTCTCCCTTCAGTCCCTTCTCATCCCACCCCTGTCACAGGATATACTGCTGATCTGCTTTCTATCACTAGAATAAGTTTTCAGTATTACACAATTTTATGTAAATAGAACCTTAACATTATGCACTCCTTTTTGTTTAATTAATTTCACTCAGCATGTTTAAGTTGAGATTAAATTGAGTGTCATGCCTGTTAGTTAGCAAGAACCCATTCCTTTTCATTGCTGAGTAGTACTCCTTTGTATATATTACACTCTTGAACTGCTCTGTTCTCATAGTTGCTGTTCTACTTTTGTTAACCTACTAACCTTGTTAGGCTTATCCTGCCGTTCTTCCCAGTAGATAGTCTTGCTCTGTTTGTGGATTTATTTTCATATACTTTCAGGTCTTAGGGATATAGTTTTAGAAGACATAGTTCTTACCATCAGATTCACATTCTTCTGGAGAATTATGACAAGCATAATACATTTTATGGTAGAGCTATGCCAAGATATCTAAGGATCCTAGAGGGCCATAGGTTAGGATTGGAAGAAAGTTTTAATGAAGTAACTGAAGCTTGAACTGTATCTTGAGAGATGAGTTATAGCAATGAAGAGAAAAGGCATAGGGAGGGTTTTCAGGGTGAAAAGAGTAGCATGTGGAGAAGGCCAGAGGTGTGGATTCGGTTGCTGGAGATAAGTCACAGATGCAGGAGTCTACAGAAATGAGTCTAATTCATTTACTTAGAAGGTTGCATTCACCTGATGTAAGCTTCTGTTTTCCCTGGAGACCTCAGAAAATCTTTGTATTTAAATCCTGTCTTTACTAGTTTTTTTCTGTTCTAACCTGTCCTACTTACTATTACTGGACTCAGTTCCCTGCAGTGCACACCTTGAAATGCACACCTGCTCTAGTAGCTCTTTGATTCAGCGCCTTCTGTGGCTTTATGTTTTTTATATTCTTAGTGTGCATTTAACCATTAGAAGCCTGGCCTCTTGCAGATCATTTCTATTATGGCCTTGCTTCTTGTCCATTTACTTTGTTTCAAGTGTATTGCCTCTAGATTTCTACTTTTCACATTAGCTTTGGGTGATCTCATTCATAATTCAATAATTATGTTGATTGTTTTTTGGCTTTCAAGTTGGGTAATATGTAATAAAGAGTTTCAGAGAATTCTTTGGAAAACCAGTTTTTATCATATATATAATATGATGTAGCTTAAGCTCTATCTAGTATACTTTGGATGTTTGTGTCGGTTGTCTTTTTATTATTAAGTTTAAATTAAGCTAAAGCAATATAGATATTTATAGTTGTGCTTTTAGAATAGTTTTAATAAAATTCAATATTCATTTAAAGAGTATTTTATTACAGTTTAGTGGGCTGTTGCTGTATTCAGCAATATAGTTTGTTACTACCATTATTTTGAAACATTCCAGTCTTTATAAGCTTTGTCATATTTTAAAGGAATTGTCACTAATACTATATCTTTTACAATTTTTAAGTGATAAATAATACTCTTCCTCTTTATTTTAACAATATTACTTCTATTTTCTATCCTAGATTTAGGAGGTAATCCTGTGATGATAATATTTAGTAAAGTCTATCTTAAATTTAAATTGTCACCTTGGTAATGACTTTGATATTTAACATTTCCCAAAGTTAGACTGCCTGAAAATATTAACTTTTTTTTTTTTTCTTTTGTAGTGAAGAGGTCTGTATTTTATCTGCATCCGGCACGGCAGCTGTACTGAACCCTAGATTTTTGCAGGATGGCACCGTGGAGGGCTGTTTGGAACCGAGGTTGTCACGACAGCATGGCTTATTTTCCTTAAGGGTAGAGAGGGGAGAGTTTGATTTTCTTCTTCTCAGAGCTGGGATAATCCTTCTCTATGAGGGCGGGTTACAGGGGTGTGGTGTAGAAATCAGGACCAGGCACTTGACTGATTTTTACCTAATCCATAGCAACACCTTAGCAACAAAGAAGTATTGGGTTCTGCACTGCATGACGCACATTATTATTTCTAATGTCTCAGTAAATGGCACATATGATTACCTATTGAAAAATTTTAGGTATGCATTTTTGTGTTTGCTACAATGTAGAAATAATTTCTTTTGAGTTTTTTCTTCCTTTCTTTTCCTTTCTCTTACCTCCAAAATAGGAAAAGTTCATGAAACAATTTCCATAAAGAAAATTCCTAATTTACACAACAGACACTATGTTGTATGAAAACTATGTATAAAAGCTTCAATTATGTATAAAAACCTTGTGAAATATGATTTTAAGATATGTGAAAGAGAAAGTAAAAGTGAAAGCATTAGGTAAAATGAAACTGCTTTTTGGTTTATTTGATTATCAGTTCCTTTAATCTGTTAGTGTCCATAAATAAAAAGATGAGGTTATCAACTATATGTACAGAAAGCTGTAAGTTTGATACCAGAGCTTGCCTGAATAATATAAATCTTAAATACTTCTTACCTAACACTATGCATATTTTTCCGCATTATTAATGTATTAGTATATATTAAGGAAGAAAGCCAAAAAAAAAAAAAATCTATGCGTTATCAAATTTAGTAAAAATTTGCAAGTCTCTGTGTAGCCAAGAAAGATACATTACAAAGACCTTGGTCAGTTTCTTCTTTTGTCAGTATTAAAAAAATAGATTTTGACCATAATATGTTTCAGAGCACTAAAAGTCATGGTAAATAATAGGAAAGTGAAGGTTGGACATTTTGAAGTATACTAAACAATTGGAATATTCTGTTGAGAAAACTGACTTTGCTGGTGAGTTGTCCCAGTGCTGCCGAATAGTTCTTGCTTATGTCGGTAGCTTCCATTCTTTAGTAGGTAGAAGCCTAATTTAATGAACAGCCTTTCTCATGCAGTTTGATTGTTTACATATTATGGCTTGGATGGGCACAGGAAATTATTAGTGCTTACTAAAGAAAAAATGTAGGAGTAGAAGGAAGAAAAAAATTCCCTAGGATGTCAGTATTTAGAGATTATCCATTTTCGTATTTCAAGTGTTTTCATACATTTTTTGCATTTCTTTTTCTTTGGGATGGTTTTGATCTCTGCCTCCTGTACAGTATTATGAACCTCCATCCATATAGTTCTTCAGGCACTCTGTCAGATCTAATCCCTTAACTCTATTTGTCACTTCCACTGCATGATCGTAAGGGATTTGATTTAATCATACCCAAATGGTCTAGCGGTTTTCCCTACTTTCTTCTATTTAAGTCTGAATTTTGCAATAAGAAGTTCATGATCGGAGCCGCAGTCAACTCCTGGTCTTGTTTTTGCTGATTGTATAGAGCTTTTCCACCTTCAGCTGCAAAAATCTGATTTTGGTGTTGACCATCTGGTGATGTCCACATGTAGAGTAGTCTTTTGTGTTGTTGGAAGAAGGTGTTTGCTATGACCAATGCACTCTCTTGGCAAAACTCTGTTAGCCTTTGCCCTGCTTCATTTTGTACTCTACGGCCAAACTTGCCTGTTACTACAGGTATCTCATGACTTTCTACTTTTGCATTCCAGTCCCCTATGATGAAAAGGACATCTTTTTTTGATGTTAGTTCTAGAAGGTCTTATAGGTCTTCACAGAACCAGCCAGCTTCTTTAGCATAAGTGGTTGGGGCATAGATTTGGATTACTGTGATATTGAATGGTTTGCCTTGGAAATAAACAGGGATCATTCTGTCATTTTTTATATTATACCCAAGCATGCATTTTGGATTCTTTTGTTGACTATGAAGGCTACTCCATTTCTTCTAAGGGATTCTTGCTCACGAGTAGATATAATAGATATAATGTAGATATAATAGATATAATAGTAGATATAATGGTCATCTGAATTAAATTCACCCATTTCAGTCCATTTTAGTTCACTGATCCTGAAATGTCGATGTTCACTCTTGCCATCTCCTGTTTGAACACTTCCAATTAACCTTGATTCATGGACCTAACATTCCAGGTTTCTATGCAATATTGTACTTTACAGCGTCGGACTTTACGTCCATCACCAGTCACAAAATGCAAAACGGCAACATGGTTATCTGAGGAAGCCTTATAAATAGCTGAGCAAAGAAGAGAAGTGAAAGGCAAAGGAGAAAAGGAAAGATAATCCATCTGAATGCAGAGTTCCAAAAAATAGCAAGGAGAGATAAGAAAACCTTCCTAACTAATCAATGCAAAGAAATAGAGGAAAACAATAGAATGGTAAAGACTAGAGATCTCTTTAAGAAAATTAGAGACATAGGGGAACATTTCATGCAAAGATGGGCACACTAAAGGGCAGAAATGGTATGGACCTAACAGAAGCAGAAGATATTAAGAAGAGGTGACAAGAATACACAGAAATATACAAAAAAGATCTTAAAGACCCAGATAACCACAATGGTGTGATCACTCACCTAGAGCCAGACATCCTGGTATGTGAAGTCAAGTGGGCCTTAGGAAGCATCACTATGAACAAAGCTAGTGGAGATGATGGAATTCCAGCTGAGCTATTTCAAATCCTAAAAGATGATGCTGTGAAAGTGCTGCACTCAATNGCACAAGCTGGAATCAAGGTTGCCAAGAGAAATATCAATAACCTCAGATATGCAGATGACACCATCCTTATGGCAGAAAGTAGAGGAACTAAAGAGCCTCTTGATAAAGTGAAAGAGGAGAGTGAAAAAGCTGGCTTAAAACTCAGCATCCAGAAAACTAAGATCATGGCATCTGGTCCCATCACTTCATGGCAAATAGATGGGAAAACAATGGAAACATGGCAGACTTTATTTTCTTGGGCTCCAGAATCACTGCAGGTGGTGACTGCAGGCATGAAATTAAAAGACACTTTCTCCTTGGAAGAAAAGCTATGACCAACCTAGACAGCATAGTAAAAAGCAGAGACATTACTTTGCTGACTAAAGTCCATCTAGTCAAAGGCATGGTTTTTCCAGTAGTCATGTATGGATGTGAGAGGGGTCCATAAAGGGAGCTGAATGCCGAAGAACTGATGCTTTTAAACTGTGATGTTGGAGAAGACTCGATATTTCCTTGTACAGAAAGGAGATCAAACCAGTTAATCCTAAAGGAAATCAAACCTGAATATTCATTGGAAGGACTGATGCTGAAGCTGAAGCTCCAGTAACTGACTCACTGGAAAAGACCCTGATGCTAGGAAGGATTGAAGGTGGGAGGAGGAGGGAATGACAGAGGATGAGATGGTTGGATGGCATCACCAGCTCGACAGCAAGCTCTAGGAGTTGGTGATGAACCGGGAAGCCTCATGTCATGCAGTCCATGGGGTCGCAAAGAGTCAGACACATCTGAGCAACTGAACTTAACTGAACGTCATACACTTTAGCACTTTTATTCTTTATGATACACCACCTGTGTTCAAATAACTCCCACCTGGGAGTTATTTGGTTAAAAATTGTCCCGATTTTCATCTTTCTCTGTCCCCTTTGTACCACATGGGCTTTGGATTCAAACAAACTGGCGTTAAAATCTGAGGTCTGCTACTTAGTACTTTTTGTGACTGAGCAAATGACTTAGCATCTCAGCTTGGTTTCAGGCCAAATGAAACTAGTTTTTGTTTCCCTGTGCTTGGTGTTATATTGAAGGGGGTGTGCATTTAGCTATAGTTTTCTTACTTAATCTTTAAAAAAAAAAAAGAACCTTTCTAGGTAGATACTGTTGTTCCAGTTTTATAGAGGAGACTCTCAGAGGTTAAATGACTTGCTCAGGCTCACAGCTCTGCTCATATCTGTTTCCCCTGTTACTTCTGATAGGCCAGAATGCCATCCCAACAGTAAAATATCTGGGAGAAACTTAATTTAATTTAGAGGCTTACTGAGAAAATTCTGTGAAATAATGTATACAAAGAATCTATGCAAAGCCTGATTCTGGGAGGTATAGTAACTTGTAAACTTTTAGATGGAACTGAATTGAGAACCCACATCTTTTCAGAGCCATGGATGTGACTGTGTGAAATCCTGCTGTTCTCCGTGGAGTTTCCCTCTTCCCTTCCTATTCTTCTCATTTCTTCAGATTTAATGACTGAAAAAAGACTTAATCATTCTAAAATGATTTCATAAACAGCCTACTACAGTAGACATTTTACAGTGAATGGAAAGTTTGTGGGTCATTCATTTGTGCTTCACGTATGACAGATATTCATTTCTGAAACACACGTGTTTTGGTTTCTCTGAAAGGGTACAACAGACATTAGAAATTAGAAACTTTAGAGTATGCCTAGCTTTGGCTTTTTTTTTCCCTCTTAAATTTGTTTCTAATTGTAGATTTTTTTCAAATTGGTTTTTTCCCTTAGGAATTATTTTCTGATTTTATGTGTATTATCTTTTCAGATAATAAAAGCATATCACTCTTATTATCTAGCCATTTTAAAAAATATTTAATTTTTAATTGATTGATGATTGGTTTGCAATATTGGTTTGATTTCTGTCATACATCAACCTTTCATTTTTATGTTGTATCCTAAAGGAGAAACCATTGGAATAATAGTGGTTTTTGTCAGGTCATCAAACATAAGAATTCAGGGAGGGGACATATGTATACCAATGGCTGATTCATGTTGAGGTTTGACAGAAAACAATGAAATTCTGTAAAGCAATTATCCCCTAATTAAAAAAATAAATAAATAAATAACATAATTGATAGAAAATGCCCCATTACTTGTATAAGCCTCTTCTTTCATAACAGAGTATGTGGTTCTGATTTCCTGTTTATTTCTTATCAATCATAGTGGTAACTATTATGGTCAAAGTTATGATATAGTTTGTACACAAGTACTGGATAGGTAGTATTTGTTCTTGGAAAAATGCATAGAATTTTCAAGAATGCCTTTTTCCCCCTTAATGTGTCTATATAGGCTAGAAGAAAATTTGCCTGCAGGCTGTGGATTTTGCCATATACCATATGATGAACTGAATATGCCGTTTCCAGCTCATCTCACATACTGCAATAACTGCAGGAAACAAAAAGTTCCTGATGTTCTCTTCACAACCATAGACCTCCCAGTGGATGCAACAGTTATTGGAAAAGGTTGTCTCATTCAAGCAAGGTATGTTTGTGAAGACAGTACTTGGGGTCCTTGAAGGAATATAGAGTATAAAGTCCAATAGACATATTTGATCCATATGATTTTACTGTATGGAAAATTGGAAGGAAAAATAATCCTCTTTATGAGATTCAGATAAACTTGTATGCAAAAGCAGTCTTAAACATTGAAATTAGGTACAAATATTTATTATTATGAAGATTATTAACTAACCTGTCAGAGGTGAGGGATGTGACTCAGTATGCTTTAATGACGTTAAATAACTGATACATTTTGGAAGTTGACTTTTTGTTCTTTTTAAGAATGGTGCTATGTGGTGTTTTGTTTTGTTTAACAATTTCAGTTAGCTGTTAAGAGTTCTCTTTAAAGTGTGCTGGAATAGGAAATTGAAAGGCACACAGGAAACAGCTGCAGCTATCTAGGTCACTAACAACTGCCAGGCTGCCAAATCCATGGAGCATTTCTGTCCTCATTTTACTGAAGGTCTCAGCAATAATCACACAGCTGATCGTTTTCTCCTTGAAATTCATGACTTCACAATGCCACACTTCCTCTTTTTTCCTACCTTTACATGTAGTCTTCATTCCTCCTCACTTCTTGTTCCTTGAAAGCCATGAGTTCAGACCCTCTTCTCAAAGCTTTCTCCCTAGTTGAAGTCATCAACTCCTATATATCTGTATTCTGTCTGTAACTCTAGGACTCCCAAATTTACAGCTCTAGTTCAAAACTTACTTCTGAGCTTCAGACCCATATACTTTGCTGTCTACTTTACACCCCACTTTTATAAGCATCTCATACTTGTTCCATATTGAACTGCTGATTTTATCCATTTCTTTCATATTGGTCTTTCCTGTTTTCATAAGTGGTACTTGCTCTATTCAGTTTTTCATTGCAAATATGGTATTCTTAAACATTGTTCTCTTTCCTAACCTCCCCACATCAGAGTTATTTCAAAGTCATGTTACATTTTCTTCTAAAATATATTTCTAATCTATTTCCTTTTTTACTTTCATTCCCTCTTGCACCTTAGACCTTCCATTTAGAATTGTTTTTCTTTCGCCTGAGTTATCTTGAGTATTTTTTTGATGGATCTATTGATGGTCAGCTATTTTTATGTGTCTGAAAATAAGCCCATTTTATCTTTAAACAGTATCTTTGGCTAGCAGTTATTTTCTTTAAGCACATTGAAGATACTCTTCCACTGCCTTCTGGCCTTCATTGCAACTGTTGAGAAATAACCTATTATACTAACTGTTCTTCTTTTGAAGTTTGTCTATTTTTTTCCCTCAGGCTGTATGCAAGCTATTTTATTTGTCTTTGGTTTTCTTCAGTTTCCCTGTAGAGTGTTAGGTATGGAGTTCTCTTTATCCTAGTTGTTACACCTTGGACATTTTGAATTTATAGATTGGTATCTTTCATGTGTTTTAAAAAATTTTAGGTTAGTTTTGTGATTCATCTGTTCTCTCGTCTTGATATTCCAATTAAAGTATATGACACTTTCTGACTGCCTCCTCTATGTCTGTTACTTTCTTGTTTATATTTTTAATCTTTTTATTTCTTTATGTTATATTTTGGATATTTTCTTATCTTTCAGTTCTTTAGTTTTGTCTTCAGCTGTCTTTAATGTGCTGTTATGCATAATAATTCTGTTTAAAATTTTTGATTTTTTATATCCAGAAGTTGTATTTTATTCTTTTTCAAATCTAATACCACATACTATAGTCTGTGTTTGATTCTGTAACTGATGATTTTAATATCTAAAAAATTTTTTTTCCTGTTGTTTCTGCTAACCAGCAGAAATTGTTCATTGTGTTTTACTTGCTTTGGCAAGTATTGTACAAAGCCCTGTGTGCCCTTCACCTAGCTTCCCCGATTGGTGGCATCTTACACAGCTGTAGTAGGGTATCAGCTAGGATATTGACACTGTTACAATGGTTTTAACTATGCTCCAAACCCGAGTCAGTTTTACATTTTGAATACTTGCATTCATTTAAGGATTTGTGTGTGTGTGTGTGTGTATGTCTGTGCAGTTTTATCCAACAAATAGATTGTGTAAACCACTGTCACAGTCAAGATACACAGCTGTTCACCCCACAAAAGAACTTCCTTATACTACCCACTTATATTTATACCCTGTATTGCCCCTTGCCCTGATCCTGTGATACTTTTAGGAAGATATTTAAAAGTACATAGTTTATCCAGTTTTGTTTTTTTCTTTTTTCCTTGTTTTAGGTAGTCTTCTTCAACAGTTCTCAGAGTGTGGCCCTTAGACCAATAGCATCACCATCCCGGGGGAATGTATAGAAATGCAAATTGAGGCTCTGTGCCAGATCTGTTGACTCAGAAACCCTTGGGATGGAGCTCAGCAATTGTTTTTTCAACAAGCCCTCTGGGTGATTGTGATGCAAGCCTGTATTTGAAAACTACTGGCCTGAGCAGCCTGGCTTACCAGTTTGGGGATCTTCTCTTAATCTTTTCAGTCAACTTTTTAGTCCTAGCTTTTGTTGTCTGTCACCTAAGTAGCTCTTGTTCACCATCCCTACATCAGTTCTCTTTGTACCATTCTCTGTGTAGCAGTATAAATGATGTCCTAAAATATACATTAGGTCATGTTACTTCTTAAAATCTATCTGGGGTTTCCATTGCTGGTAGAATAAAATCAAACTCCTCACCATGAGCAATCCTGACACATTCATGCCCATGCTTAACTGAATCCTCCTCTGTGCTGCCCTCACCCTTGCTCACTTCACTTGAGCTACAATGGTCTCCTTTTGGTTCTTTTATTATGCCAGCTTCATTCCACCAGTGTCTTTCTCCAGCAGTCCCAATTCCATCTTGTCTTTAAGATCCTGGCTCAGGTGTTATCTCTGCTCTGAAGCCTCTGTCCAATTATTCTTTCTTCACCTGGTTGATTTTCTGCACACACCTGATTCTTAGGCATTGTTTGCAGTTGCTTTGTTTCTTTGTCTTGTTTTATTACTCTTCCCCTGGAATACAGTCATCAGCAGGGGGTCTGTGTTTTATTCCTTGATCATTGCTCACCACGTAGAACAGTGCCTGGCACATGGTAGATACTCAAGTTTTATATTCTTTTAATGAGTAAATTAAGTTTTTTTCCTCTGTTGTCCACCCATTATATGATCATGTGGAGTTATGAAACCTAAGATTTAAAATTATATTCTGTGATGATTTTGATTACTATTTGTTTCATTTCTAGAGATTTGAGAGTTTTTTTCCTTTTGTTTATCGAAATGGGACTTTTAGCAAAAGTGTATATGGTGAAAAAAATGGCAGAAAGGATTATTGATAAAACATAATAAGCCCATCTGAAACAAGTAAATGTTTTTCATCAAGCACATTTTTAGGAAGTTTTAAAAACTGGATATTGCTTAAGATGGTATCAGGAACACTGTCCACTGACTACATTATTTTCCTTAATAGGTTGTGTCGCTTAAAAAAGAAGGCACAGGCAGAAGCAAATGCCACAGCCATCAGTAATCTCTTGCCATTTATGGAATATGAAGTGCATACTCAGCTAATGAATAAACTAAAGCTCAAAGCAATGAATGCTTTATTTGGACTGAGAATTCAGATCACAGTGGGAGAAAATATGTTGATGGGCTTAGCGGTAAGTTTCAAGATGTTTTATTTTTGTTTTGTGATTCATGTAGTTGTAGATTCTTTTTTATGTGATTCAAAGAGTCTTTTAAGAAGACTTAGCTAAAAAATTGGCATTAAGACTTCTAAGGGCTAGAGACATTATAAGAAGAAAAGAAATCCAGTGATAGACTTTCACATACTTTTATATTTCTTTATGAAATTATTATTTGAAATCAAATTAATAAACTATTATATAAATTTATGTTTATGTTATTATTCTATTTTTGTATTCAGATTATAATTCATATAGTCACATTTCTAAGAATTACCATGTAGACCTTAATTTGTAAGTTGGCCACCATTGTCTGGACTTTATTATTGTTTACACATTGCTAACACAGGGTTTTTCCTTCTCAGCATTGTTAACATTTGGGGCTGTATAACTCTGTTATATGGGGCTGCCTTATTCATTTTGGGATGTTTGGCAGCATCGCTGGCTTTTGTCCACTAGATGCTAATAGCCTCCCATACAGTGTGACAACTGACAACCCAAACCGTCCCCAGTCATCACCAGGTGTCCCTTAGGGGACAGAACCACTCCTTAGCAGGGAGGACCACTGTGCTAAAAGAATCTCTTTTTTTAATGGAGAAAATCAATACATCTGAGACACATGCACCAGTGGTCAGCAGCAGAGTATGCTGTAAAATTGTGTGTTTCTGAAGTGCCAGTAAATTGTGAGGCAGTGAAAAGCTCTTTGTCTTGGCTTCATGTGAATCTTGATGCATTAGAAAGTAAGTTCTGACGGGGACTTCCCTGGTGACTCAGTGGTAAATAATCTGCTTGCAGTGTAGGAAACCCAGGTTTGACCCCTGGGTCAGGAAGATCCCCTGGAGATGGGGATAGCTACCCACTTCAGTATTCTTGCCTGGAGAATCCCATGGACAGAAGAGCCTGGCGGGCTATAGTCCATGGGGTTGCAGAGTTGGATATGACTGAGCTACTCACACACACACACAAAACATTATCAGTGGGGAAAGTGAGAACTGCTTTTATAAGTAGCCTGAGACCCAGAGAACTAGATGTCTGCAAAATATTTATGGCAGTTCTCTCATATTCTCGACACTTTGCCGGCCAGAATTTTTGTCTGCGTCACCAGTACTTTTCAGACTGGAATTTTTTGTCTTCTTGGAGACATGCGTAGACATTTAATTTTAAGAAATTTATGAAGCTTGAATTCTTTTTCTCTGTATGCATTTGTAGATTAAAATGCTGAATTATTTCCTGCTTCATCTGTTCTTTCTATAAGAGCAAATATGCAAATTTCCATGTGTAGGTGATAATTGTGTGACAGTGATTAATTAGGAAATTTCACTTTTTTAAAACAAGTGAAATTTATGGTGATAATAAAAGCAGTTGGATTCATATTAAAATATTTGATATTTCAATGACCCATCTAAAAACTCATGCTTAGCGAGGACATAACTTAAAAGTGTAGTTGGGCTGAATATAGAACTGCAGTGATTGGTGGGTGTCTCGGGGACTAAGAGCTTGGTTGGATTCTAAAGTTTAAAGAACAGTGTGCCAATTGCAGAAAGTACTTCTGATGGTTGAGCCCCAGGAAACTAGTTTGTGACCCAGGTATAGTTCTTCATTCCTGCCTCAAATACTGCCTTTTCTGATTCTTACTGATCTTTTCTTCTTGATCACTAGGGACACTCATTGTAACTGTTGGAGACTTTTTTAGTCTGTACACCTGAATCTCAAGGTCCCAAGAGTAGCTTTCACAATAGGTAATCTCTGATGAGTGTCTCCTGGGTATCTGGCACTGCACTGCTCTGGAAGGAATGTGACATTATCTTAACTTTACAAGAGAAGACAGATGCCATTATAGACTGAGACTTCTCCAAAGTGATGTGGTTGCACATACCAGAACTCAGTTTCAAATGCAGGCCTGTCTAGTTCCAGAGTTGTGTTCTCAGCCATTCTGAGCTGTTGCCTCATTAGTGAATGCAGTTAGGAAACTGTTAAGAGATGGTGCACTAAGGCTGCATATGGTGCGGAGGGCATTCTAAGCTTGAGCATCGGAGACTGGGTTGTGGGTCCAGTCATGTGAACAGACCAGGAGAAAGAACTTCTGAGGACCAGACTTCATAGAGCACCACACACTTTCCAGGATGGACTGTAACAAAATTGGCAGTTGTTCAAAAATTTTAGTAACAACAACAACTCTTAGAATTTATGCAACTATCCAGAGTTAAAAGAATTGTCTTCTCTTTTCTCCATTCTAGTCCTTTGATATTAACAATTTGCTGTGTGTACTTTTATACATTTTTTTGCTTTCTTTCCTTACAGAAACACATTTAAACATAAAGCACATATGTGTGCATGTTTTATCTTGTTTTGTATTTCCCCTAGTAGGTTTTTAGTACTAATGACATGCAGTACTGTTACAAAGTCAGAATTTAGTATTTAATTAAATATTTAAAATAAATCTGTATCAGGTTCTTTCTTGGTGACTATGAAGTTAGAATGATATAGTGGAAAGTTCTTGGTTTTAAGAGTTTGAAACACATTCACATCTCTTCTCCACATTTATTGATGGTGTGATCTTGAGTAAGCTTCCTATCCTTTCTGAACTTCAGTTTCTTTACTTGCTTTGCATAAGTTTCCTTGTTACTTTTGCCACTTTAAAGATAAACTACCCGTTCATGAGATACTTACTTTACTACAATTTTCAATCATATTTTCCTGAGCTATTTTTTTCTGTGCACATTATTTTTTACAGCCATAAGGAAAAACTTTAAAGTACAGTTGGGTATGCAGAGCCAAGGAAATTGTCCTTTCACTACTGTCTGACCTACCCAGGGTTCTCACTGGAAGTAACCAACCGCTGTGCTACCAGTTCTGTTTTTCTATGTCCTTTTACATATGTCCTCTGCAAACACTGGTGCTAATTATCTTTTTCCTACAGGACAAGGACCATTCTTCTGAATATGAATACTGAAGGACTGTTATGATTTAGATATTCTTTTTTTCTCATTATTCCCCCATTTTTACCAGTCGGCCACCGGTGTGTATTTAGCAGCTTTACCAACTCCTGGTGGTATTCAGATTGCTGGAAAGACTCCTAATGATGGCTCATATGAGCAGCATATATCTCATATGCAGAAGAAGATAAATGACACGATTGCCAAGAATAAAGAGTTATATGAAATCAATCCTCCAGTAAGTGAAATAAATCTCCATTGTGAATACATGTTTACATGTTAGTGTATTTCTAGATTCTTTTAAGGATATTTTTCTACACTGTCTAAATTTGCTGTGCCTGTTACTCATTCTTTCTCCTTCCTTTATATCCATGCTCAGATGTCTTTATTTTTTAGGGAAGCCAACTCCGAACACCCTATTTAAAAAATAGTAACTCTCCCATCAGTTTTTGGTACTTCCTGTCTCCCTTCTGTGTTTTATTGTTTTCCGTTTCTCTTATTTTTGTGTGTCTTTATGTGTGAAGTATGTTTTTGTGTATTGCTTGATGCTCCCGGGCTTCCGTGATAGCTCAGTTGGTAAAGAATCTGCCTGCAATGCAGGAGACCCTGGTTTGATTCCTGGGTCAGGAAGATCTACTGCGGAAGGGCTAGGCTGCCCACTCCAGTACTCTTGGGCTTCCCTGGTGGTTCAGCTGGTAAAGAATCTGCCTGCACTGTGGGAGACCTGGGTTCGATCCCTGGGTTGGGGAAATCCCCTGGAGAAGGGAAAGGCTACCTACTCTAGGATTCTAGCCTACAGAATTCCATGGACTGTATAGTCCATGGGGTCACAAAGACTCGGACATGACTAAGTGACTTTCACTTACTTGCCTTGATGCTCTCAGTAGAATGAAGCTGTGTCAGGGCTGTATTCCTAATGGCTTGACCAATTCCTCCTAGTAGTAGCCTCCTGACAGATAAGTCCTTGATGAGTAACCAAATAAACGGCTTAAAATTTTCTTTATTTAGTATAAAGAAAGATTGCTTATCTATGGCAAAGATACTAAAAAATGCAGGGTCTTTTCTTTCTCATTTTGTAGTCACTGTAACAGGCACCCTGTCAGATTTATGTAGGGCAGATTAAATATGGAAAGCAAGTAAGGTAATGGCTATGAAGGTGCTTCAGAGTAGCTGAGTTAGGAAGCTGCGGTGGCAGTCTTATGTAAGGTGTGCACTAGCAGAGAATGTTGAAAACGTTTGGAAAAACCTTTTTAAAAATAATTTCCTTTTTTTTTTTTTAAAGATAGCTCTGTTATACCAACAGCAGGCTTTGTCTTTCACATTTGTATTCACATACCCACTTTCTGTTGATATCCTTGTGGCCAGCAGCTATTTAGAACCTCTAGTTAGCTGCAATCTTTGGCTATAAAATAGGTAAAAACTTACAAACCCATATAAGATTGCAGCATACATTTACCTTAAAAAGATCATTGTAACTCTTAGAATTTATTTAGCTTAATAAGTTGCATAGCAAATACATGTATAATGTATGTATTATGTGTACAAACACAAACATAGATACGTATGTTATATACCACATTTTACTATTTGGGGCTTTGAAGAATTGCCACTGCATAAGATATAAAAGATAAGAATGTTATTTGGGTACATAATCTTTAATTCTGTATGCATTGTTTAGGACTCTCAAATGTCAAGCAGAAAACGCTGTGAGCTGGAAAAACTGCCAGTTCCCTGCAGTGTCCTCTCTGTACACTAGGTGTCAGTGTTGCCTCGCTGTGTCTGTTTCTGGATTCTTGTATCAAGGTGGTGGTGGCATAGTCCCTAAATTGTGTCTGACTAAAAGAGATAGCCATGTAGTCTATAAAAGTTTAATTATTCCTAAAGATTATGATTAAATATAGATTATGAATACATTTTACAGATCCCCCCATAGTTTTCTATTAATATGCAAATTTAAAATCAGACTGAAGCATGCAAATATCAAATCATTGTATTGAACACTGGAAACTGCTGTTACATGTCAACTGAAGCTCCCTTAAACAGGAAAAGATATGATATAAAGCAATTATATTTTTTTTAGGAGATATCTGAAGAGATTATAGGATCCCCCATTCCAGAACCTAGACAACGCTCACGACTTTTGAGATCTCAGTCAGAAAGCTCTGATGAAGTTACCGAATTGGACCTTTCACATGGGAAAAAAGATGCCTTTGTTTTGGAGGTAGTATTGCACTGAAATAATTTCTAAAAGTTTTTGGACGATAAGATATGTATTTTTACAATCAGATCCTAAATTGGTGAGATTTTTAAAATCATTACAACTGTTATAAATGTCAAAAGAATGTTTTCTTACAGAAATTACAACAAATTTGAAGATATCAGGACTTGGTAACATATCTTTTGTTTAACACCAGATGACTGATAAAATAATGTAGATGGTTTGAGAAGAATTAATGTTGGGGTTGAAATAAAAATATTAAACTTTTGGAGCTATTTTTGTAAATTTGAATTAATTTAAATAAGGTTCTATTCCTTCACTTACTATAGTTCTTACCTACTTTATAGGTTATAATGTTAGTGTAACATTTTTACATGTAACATAATAATATAAGCACTGTAGTGTTTTCTTACTGAGTTCAGAATATGTAATCGAACTTTCATTGTAAAAATACATTCAGAACTGACTTTCCTGGAGAATAAATATGACATGAAAGGTTTATGGAACCTTTGCTTTCACAGATCTGCTTCCCAGGCACTTCCCTGTAGAATACTTAGCTTTAAAAGGGTTGATGATATTTCTTTGATCCTGAAGGAAAGGAAAACAAATGAGGATACTGAGAAATGTTTCCTGGTAAGGTGACAGTTGAGAGAAAAAATCTGACGTCTGCATCTCAGTAAAGCAGGAAGGTGATAGTAGAATTGAACTGGGTTGGGATTGGAGGCTTGAAGAGTCTAGAACAGTGCCTGTGAATGATCAGAATGTCAGCTGTAGAAGATGCTCAAGGCTCAACTGAGACGAGAGTGTTACCTTGTAGAAAACTCAAACTATATGACTTTGTATGCTTTTCTCATAATTTCTACGGTCTGAGAACGGAAAAAAAAAAGTGTAGGTCAGTAAAAGATTAAGAAGTAACAAGCTCTAGGGTTCTGTTTAGAGCGGTGCTATGCAGTGTCCTGTGATGTGGCATCGCACCAGCTGGGAGTTTGTAAGAAATTCAGGCCCTGGGGCCCCTACTTCAGACCTCGTACATGACTATTTCAAGGGGGAGCCCAGGAATCTGTTTCACAAACCCTCCAGATGATTCTTAGCATTACTTAAACCTTGATGCAGAGCGTTTTTGATACTTCTGATCCTGGGATCCTAGCTCATTGGAGAATGGAAGTGCTTCAAGTGTGGACAAAAGGGCAAGGTGTAGATTCAGTAAAAGAAGGGACAGAGAGAGACAGGGGTTGTGTTTGGAGAGTGCGTGAGATCTTGGTGTGAAATGTTTTGGGGAATACCACAGTTGAGGTATGCCCATGACTGGGTAACTGAAGCAAAGTGTAAGTGAAAGTGGTTCTTGACATCTCAAGGGTATGAGATAGGACTTAGACCCCCCAGTGTACAGATGAATGTCAATATATGTCCAGTTGGATATGTTCACTATTTATAATTCACAACAGAATGTTGAGACATAAGAAAAATGAAATTTGTACTTATTCTTTGAAGACATACCTTTAAGTTTATCCCTATGTAATTCTATTTTAAAGAAGTTCTATTTTAGCCAAAAGATTTTTTAAAGTTACACTTTATTAGTTTAAACAGAGGTAATGATTGTTTATGTTATCTTTGTAAATCTTTTGAAACATGCCCTCAAAAAGACTTGAGAAAAGGCTTGGTTTTTTTTTATCCCAATATACTTTGTAATGTAAGATATTTCATTTAGAAGTATTTATAATTATTATTGCAGTAAAGTTTATAGATTCTAGAAAAGTTTTTTTAAATTTTATGCTTTAACCTAGGGGAAAATGGCTCTACTTTTCCTTGACTCTTTATGTTTTCTATTTAATAAATGATAAAAATAATCTTAAAAATTTGAAATAACTATATATTTATTATTTATGTGATAGGTTTAATCTCTTCCTTTTCAGATTGATGACACAGATGCTATGGAAGATGTACATTCTCTCCTCACTGATGTCCCACCTCCTTCAGGTAAATAGAGAAAAATTACCTGAGAGGAGACTAGTTTTGCATATCAGTATTTCAGTTCATAATTATTATAGCACTAACTTTAAAGGCTTTATCAGTGTTAAATTCTGTCATGTTCTTTGCTACCCCAAGATTGAAAACACAGTGTTTAAAAATATTTACATTAGAACTTGGGTGAACTGATTTTTAATCCTTTTATAATGGCAGCCTACTCCAGTGTTCTTGCCTGGAGAATCCCGTGGACGGGGAAGCCTGGTGGGCTGCCGTCTATGGGGTCCCACAGAGTTGGATACAACTGAAGTGACTTAGCAGCATGTTTATCATTACGCCCCAAAACCATGCTAATTTATTAACGTGGTCTAAAAGTTTCCCAGAGGTATAGAGTTATAGAAAAAAAGAATGAGTAGATTTTACAGTTAGGACTTCATGTAATAGTTGAAATATATTATCCTTTAACAACAAGAATAAATAGTATCATAAGTTTTAATTGTAATTTATTTTGACAGGCTTTTATAGTTGTAATACAGAAATTATGCCTGGTATAAATAATTGGACATCTGAAATACAGGTAAGCCTTTTATTCTTAATTTTAAGCAAATATAGCATGTGTGATTTTGGCAAGTTCTTTCTTAACATGTGTCTTCTTTTTGCCTCCTTATTGCAATTAAATCTTATCTTTTTAGAAAATAATTATTATAGTAGTAGTATGGTAGTTTGTTTTATTTTCTGTGACAGTATAAGTTAAAAATAATGAAATGACATGCCATTATATCTTCCCATATTTAGATGTTTACATCAGTAAGAGTAATCCGATTAAGCAGCCTTAACCTGACTAATCAAGCCCTTAATAAGAACTTTAATGATCTCTGTGAAAACTTGCTTAAGGTAGGAACCTTCTGACTAACTATTCTTTAGTTAAAACGCCTAAGGATCATGAGATTTAAAAAGAAAAGTACTTATGTTGTCTGGAATACCTTGCACAGTGGTAGGGGGAATTATTTTTATTTATTTGTCAATCTTAACCTGCCACCAAGTAAAATGCCAAAGTTGTCCTCTCCATTCTAATATGCCCCAGTATAAAAAGTATATATTTTGAGTTATTTCATAACTTTAAAGTGCATGAAAATCTGTATTTATAAATTTTAAAAACCCCTCTTTCTTATGTTTTTATGACTTGGAAATATGACTAAATCTTATTGTCTGCTTAGATATTAAAACTGTATTCATTTTTTAATGTTTTAAAATCTCCATTTTTAATTTTTATTTTTTAATTAATTTATTTTAATTGGAAGATAATTGCTTTACAATATCGTGATGGTTTTTGCTTTATATCAACATGAATCAGCCATGGGTATACATGTGTTCCCCCCCCCCAAACTGTATTCTTAATGAAAGAATAGATAAAAAAGAAATGTTTTGATCTTTTCAATTTTATTTGCCACAGTAAAATATGCATTAAAAATCATTTTTTATAAATTTTTAAATTAAAAGAAGTAATATTACTAATATTTTCTTCTGTGTAGAGCCTGTATTTTAAACTACGGTCTATGATCCCCTGCTGCCTTTGCCATGTCAATTTTACAGTCTCTCTCCCTGAAGATGAATTAATTCAGGTAATTAAGGTTTAGTCTATTATTAAAAAAGATTTCTTTGATCTGTTTTAATATTATATGTTTGCCATAATTGAGAAGTATAAGCTGCTTTATTTCAAAACATTTTTAAATATGTTACTATGAGTCAGATCTTGTCTGTCGGTTTTACTTTTGTGAACTCTAGTTATCTAAAGGTGGAATCACATGTGTGTTCCCGCATAATCCCCACTGTGAGTTCTGCCTCGGTGTGACTTCTGCAGTCTCCGTCTTTTAGAGAAGCTTCTTGAGCTTTTTCTGGAATACCTAGGTTTAGGTGTACATGTTGGGCTTAGTTGTAGTCTGAATACCTGAGTTTATGTGCAGTTCCGGTTAAGAATTTTAACCATTAAAGGCAAATTAGCCGGTTTGTATAAGTTGTTCCATGGTAGTGAGAAAGATTAATGAGAAGATTATTTTGGGAATGATTACTTCACTAATCATATTGTTTCTGTGATTCTAGGTTACAGTCACAGCAGTTGCAATAACCTTTGACAAAAATCAGGCTTTACAGACTACAAAAACACATGCTGAGAAGTTATTGCAAAGAGGTAAACCTGTGATAGATGGGAGCATGGTTCAGTGAAAAAATGTATTTGTCTAGTTAATAGTTCAGTGAAAACATGTAGAGGATAGGTGACTAACTAAATGATATGTTTTTTGACAAGATACTGTCACTTTTCCTGTTTTCTTTATCAGGATAACTGTATGGGTAAGCATATGACTGGCTTTTTTTTTTTCACACATGGAATAGGTGGTTCGCCACTGTTTACGCAGAAAATGTGGCTGTTTTTTAGACTTAGATTGTATCATTAATTCTGCAGCAATTTAGAGGCTCTGAAAAAAAAGAAAAACTTTCTGAGGTTTAATGACTTGCTGGTTAAATAAATATCTAAAATATTTTAAGTTGAATATATTACACCTGTATAGTATTGATTTAATGTCAGATTGAGAGATGTGTTAAATGATGATGTGTTCAGATATTTATCAAAGAAAATAGGCAATAACTGGTTTAAGTATCACAGAACTAGTATAGTATCAATACAAGAGTAGGATAATAATAATTACTAGTGAGTGCTTATTCTTTGCAAGGCACTGTTGCTAAGTGGTTTATATGTATCATCCTTTCTAAATCTCCCAACAGTCCCTCCTGGAAAGATAGCAGCCACTCTCAGTGTCTGCAGGTGAAGGTAGAAAGCAAGGAGAAAATAACCAGAATAAATTGAATTGGGAGAAAATATGTATATTATCCCAGATTCTTAATTTTTAAAAAATTAATAAGAGATCATCACGTAGTAATTTATATTTTTCTTGCTTCTCAAGCCTCTACAGATAATGAAGAACTTCTGCAGTTTCCCCTGGAACTCTGTTCAGATTCACTTCCTTCTCATCCTTTTCCACCAGCTAAAGGTTGGTTAAGCAAGAGAAATGCAAGCACAAATGCTAGTGTCGAGACACTTTCACTTGCTTCTTGATTGTAGGTGATCTTAACTTAATTTTGAAATGGAGCTTTGTTCTTCATTCCTGCATTGTATGTTTCTTCATGTTCATAACAGGGAGAGAGTACTGTTGCTTTCATTTTAATTAATTTCTCTAGTAATCTCATCATAACTTATTAAGGTAATTTTTCATATGATAATTCTGTTCTAATGCCTCAAATATATTAAAGTTTTATTTTCAGAGATTTGGATTTCCCAAAGTTAACTGTTCACATATGATATTTTTGGTATTTTTATCTGGTGAACTTTTTCCAGCAACATTGTAACCTTTGCAGAAATTTTTAGATTTTCTTAGACAACAAAATTCTTATTTTCTTCAGAATCTATGTGGAAAGAGGTTTTGGGCAAGGATTAGTATAAGTGAGAAAGGAATGAGCTTTCAGTCTTTCGGGTGTGTTATATTTGAGGAACATTTTTTCAAATGCAAAATGATTATTCCTTAATTCAATAGCAGTAGGCCTACTTACACCTGTACAATCTTTGGAGAAAAGTGGGAGGTAGTTTTTTCCATTTCTCTTGTGATTTCAATGCAATTCTTATAAAAATTTCAGAATTACTGTACCTTATCTTAGAGCGGTTTATACACAATAAATGTTTGTGTTTTTCCCTAAATTTCTTAATCTGAGAAATGATGCATTCATTATTTAAAATCAGATGGCCTTTCTAACGTTTATGTTTTATAATGCGAGTGACATATGGTTTCTACTTGTCAGTTACTTTATCCGTTACCAAGTAAGTTATAATACAGAATAGCTTTAAATTCACATTGTGTATATATCAGTAGAGTCTTTACTAAATCAGTTCAGAGTTTATGAAGATAAATAGATCTTGACTCATATTTTGGAGCTGAAAAGGTTAAGGTACTTTCAGATATGGAACTTTCTAACATGGTTACCATGTGGTTCTTTTTCCTTTTTATCCAAATTAAAATTCTCATTTAGAACTCTATAGAGGATTTCTTTTAAAAAAACAAGGGGGGGGGAGGGGATAAATCCAAAGATAATCTGAGTTCAGATTTATAATTTAAATATAGCTTTTAGAACAAAAAGCAGAACAGTTTAGAATCTTCCTTGAACTGACTAGATAAGGTTTTTTTTTAAACACCTGCTTTCTATAGAAACTTACATTTAACACAGGGTTAGTTTCAAACTACTTTTAGTTTTCACTTAGTTTATCCTTACCTAGCAGTGGTGAGGAGGGGGCAACTAAAACCAATAACCCAATCAGCAATAAGGTTTGATCAGTTGCTAATCTATAAAAATATTTATTTGTGGAGTTGAGGTCCCTGTCAGCTCTATTTTACCATGTTGTTAATAGCTACTGAATTCTGCGGAAGATTAAATTTAAACTCTGTAAATTAGCCATGTCTATATTGATAACTTACAGTTTCTGTAATAGCTTTCAAAATGTTTTCAAAGGTAATTAAAACTAATGCTTTTTGTAGTAATTAGTATGTTTTGCACAAATGAAAATCTGTGAACTGAAAAACAAAGAAGAATTTGAGTAGAATAAGTTATATCTAAACAATACCTAAAATATTTGCAGTTTATTTTAAGGAGCATGGGAAAGGGCCATAAAGTGGACTAATAAAGCAAGAGACCTGGCTTTTTTCTCAGTTCTGCTCCTAATGATGTCAATTGTGAGAATTTGGGCCAGTTAATCTGCAGTTAGGCCACTGAAGTCTCAGTTCCTCATTTGTAAAACATGAAAAGATGAAGATTCTGGAGAAGCCTTTTTAATTCTCGGATTTTTTTGAGTTTCTATGGTGTATGGTTCTTCAATTATTACTAAAAACATAAAAGCTAAATTATGCCTGAGGTCACACTGAGCTTCTTTGAGTTCATTTTCCAAATAGCTTCAAATCAGTTAAACCAATGATTTTTAAACTCTGTCCCTCCAAACCATAGAATGTCTTCAGAGGTGCCTTGTGGCCTTCCAAGAGGCAAGGTGTCGGGAGTAGTGTGGCCCTCCTACCTCTGAACTAGAGCAGTTTTGATTCCCTGTGCCTTCTCTGTTGGCTTTCTGTGTGGTTTTGTTAGAAGAAAGGGTTTCAAAAAGTTTGAAAAGCACTGAATCAGATCCTGCTGCCTTTGTTATCATCGTTGTCACCATTGTCAGCTTCATAATAATATCATCACATCTAATACTTATATATAAAACTTTTAATACTAAGTACTTAACTGTAAAACCTATGTGCCTTTCCTTGAATGTTATATTTTAAAATCATCAGTGAACACTAAAAAGTTTATCTGTGCATTTTATTTAAAATCGTGTATATTGTGGTTTATGTTGCATGCTTATTTATTGTCTTTGCTTCCTGACATCTCTCCAGGAGAACGTGTGCTATGCTATATACATTAGAAAAAATTATTTCCAAGTATTTTAGAAAATTTGAGGATAGAATGGCTTTTGATAGGTCTGAAACATGTAATAATAGAGTGTTATATCATGAATGTAGTAGCTGAATATTTTAACATGAAGGCAGGCTTTGAATAGAGAATAGAAATATCTCAGAACAGTTAAGCTTAGTTGTTTAGAGGAAATAGGTGGGAGATAGAAAGGCAAGGGTGGGGAATAAATGTTAAAAAATAAAACTTTACTTTCTTTCTGCAGCCAGAGGCTTAAAAATTGACAACTGATATGATAAGTAAATAAATATATAGTTTTTATAGTTAGGTCAGTTAGCTAAGCTGACTGAGATTTATCTGTTTTAATTCTGAAAACTTTGAATACTAATTTATTTTCCATGTTCTTATCACAAATGGGATAATTTATGAAAATTTTTATTTCTTTTTAGTTGACAGAGTAGTGTCAAGAGCTGTGCACAGTATGTTTATTAATACTTCCATCTTTTCACTTGTAGATAAACCTTTCCTTATCTTTTTGTGTTACTGAAAATGAGTGACTCTTTGAAGAGAAGATGTTTCAATTTCATGTATTCTAATTGACTGTGTAGAGTAAGCCTGGGCCTGAGTTGTCCATCCATGTTCAGCTTTTTTTTCCTTCCATCTTTTGTTACACTTGGTTTTGTTTCTCAAGGTAAACAAAACAGTTTTGATGTATGTCTCAAATTATGGTTGATTTGGTGTTACCTTGCTAGTCATCTTGATTTTTCTGATTTGAAATATTAAAAAGTGCTGAGCCTAAGTAATTTCTTAAAGAACATTATCAAGTGAAGGTCATCAAAATTCTTTGAATACTGTGAGGAACAGAGATGATGTGGCATCACCATAAATTACTTTTTTTTCTTATGAAGCTGTGTTATAAGAAAAAAAGATAACAATAGGAAATTTTTTATGGTACTTTCATAATATTTTCCCTCTTTATTAATATCTATATATCAATTTTTTTAATATGTCACTTCACTCTGAAATGGTTTTTAAGAGAATTTAAAAATCATATATATTTTATGAAGTGAAAGTGAACAAAGATTGAGCAAATATAGTAAAAATAGAAAATCTGAGAAAATGTAATCAGGGTAAAAGATGTTTAAAAATCAGTAAGATATTTCTCATGAACAGTAATCGCAACAATTTTATGTGTATAATTTTTTTACTTAAAAGATTAGCATATTGCTTTAGTAGATGCACATTTAAAGGCCTGAATCTTGAGATATTAGATACCATATTGCGGGACTTTAAGAACTTATGTTAGACAAATGTGTGTGAATCATATACCACTATATATATATATATATATATGAATAGATATCAGATACTTGATAAATTGAATCTGTAATAGGATAATGGTTTTCATTAAAATTCTGAGAATTTAAGGCTGTAAAAGGGTTTACTTAAGTCACTTTTAGTGTTTGTACACTGTTGGATGAAACTGTATAGAGGAAACATTTTTTTATTACTCCCCACCCCCCACGCTTGTTTCTGCTATCACTTGGCTTTATGCTGGAGTGGTATCCTCATGTGCAGTGGCATTAACTAGAGGCAGGGAGGAGTTCTCTTTTCACTGAGCAGTTTCTGACTAATGTGACAAACATAGGTCACATTCTGGATTTCAGTAAGCAAGAAATCTTACACCCCTCAATGCATTGTACTCCATAATTAGGTATCCACATTGGAACCTTTTTCCTTTATTTTTACAGTAGGCTGTCAGAGTTTACTTTTTTGTTAAACCAAATTTGATTTTAAAATATAGTTTAATTTTTTAAACTTAAATGACTTGCTTTAAATCATTATAAACTGGTTATTAGAAATATAAATCTATAAGAATTACAGAAATTAGCTTTTAGTTTTTCCTACCAACTAATGGTTCTGAATTCTTACAAGTATACATAACTCTTTGTATTAACTAAAATTTTTTTATATTAACAGTTCATTGCATGTCTGTTTTTTCTATTTTTTAAGATATATTTTGTCACTATGACCAAATGGTGGGCTTCCCTGGTAGCTCAGCTGGTGAAGAATCTACCTGCAATGCAGGAGACCCCGGTTCAGTTCCTGGGTCAGGAAGATCCCCTGGAGAAGGGAGAGGCTGCCCACTCCAATATTCTTGGGCTTCCCTGGTGACTCAGATGGTAAAGAATCTGCCTGCCATGCGGGAGACCTGGGTTAGACCCATGGGTTGGGAAGATCCCCTAGAGGAGGGCATGGCAACCCACTCCAGAATCCTTGCCTGGAGAATCCCCATGGACTGAAGTATCGTGCAGGCTACAGGGTTGGACGTGACTGAGAGGCTAAGCACGCGTGACCACATGGTAGCAACTATTGAAAATGCTAAATTTTCCTTGTTACTGGTGGCCACGGCAATCAACAGGGGATCCTGAAGGGAGAAAAATACAGAGGGAAAGAGAATGAACAAAACCTCCATAAAGAGTGGAAAATGTGAAAACTGCACCTAAGAAATGTGAAGGAAGCAAAGAGTTGATGAAGGGGTAGAGATAAAGAATCTTCGCCTCTTCAGGGCAGCTCAAGGGCAGTAAAAGCAAGTCAGGGAATGAGGGAGTGAAAAGTAAAGAAAGTTGAATTGGGCTACTGACTAAAAACCAGGATTATTTGGGGAAAAAAGATAAAGGATGGTAGTGAGAGGAGTGAATGATGGGGACTGAAGAAGAAAAGCAAGTGGGTTAGGATATTGTACACCTTTAACTGGAAGTTTTAATGATTCAAATAGGTCAACTAATTGTCTTTTGTCATCTGTTGTATGTATTATCTGAGTATTCTAGTTGAACTTCTTTCCCCTAGTGAAATATCCAGATCCAAACAACTTACATTTTTCTCCATGCTTTAATAATTTTTAACTGTAATATGTTAATTTCATTATCAGACCACCAATATTTGAAGACCATTAGGGTCCAGGTATATACTGAATGTTTACATACATCATTTGTTTTGCTCAATCATTAAGCCAGATACTGATCAGTTCATTATAGACTGATGGAAATGCCTAAAGGAACATAAAACCAAGTTTTGATCATCATAGTTTAAAACTGAGCATGTTTAAATAGGAAAATAAGGCAATATAGTTTAGAGACTCCAGATTGCATATTATAGTTTTATCTGCCAGAGAATCTTTTCAGAGTTTGCAGGAATTTTTTCAGTTTTAGTAATTTTCTTAGGGTGACAGGAAAAGACTGTCTCAAAGAGTTTTTTAATTATTCAGAGCAAAGATGATCTGTAAATTTTAATGATAGAAAGTAAGTTGTCAGAAGAGTAGTCAGTGTAAGACTTTATCATGGCTAGTACATCCCTTTGTCATTGGTGTGACAGATTGTTTAGGAGAATGGAAGCGTCTCAAACTTAAGAAGCACTGGCGGGTGTATAATTGAAGGAGGAAGAATTCTTGCTAGATTTTCTGTTTTTCATCTGTAGGCTCATTTCCACTAAACCACTTTAATCTAGGTTAATCCCCCTCCCCACTCTGGTAAGGCCTGTTAAAAGTCACTAGAGTATACTAAGAAAGTAGTGTATCTATTTGTTCTGTTTAATTTCCCAGCATTTTTTTTTTTTTTTGAGGGATTATCACTATCACTTAGTAGATTTTTTGAAAAGAAAATTGTACTCAGTGAGCAAGGAAATGGTAAGAGAACTGGGTTGCTGTGTGGCTTGATTTAGACTCTTCTTGCAGCTTCAGTGGGGACCTGACATATGAAGCATTTGTCTCAAAGTCTTCCACAGAGTTGTACAAGTGGCCAGAACTGAGCATTGGCTCCCCAGCAAAGCCTCAAGGACATTTAGAAAGATTTCCACTTCTGAGTATGAAACCTGTTGTCTTTTTTTTAGTACCAGCTTAGCGACTTAGCAGCAGCAGCAGCAGAGATTGCATGGGGCTTCCCGAGGCTCAGCAGTGGAGAAGCTGCCTGCAGCGCAGAAAACAGGAGATGAGGGCTCGACCCCTGGGTCGGGAAGATCCCCTAAGGAGGAGATGGCAACCTACTGCAGTTTTCTTGCCTTAGAGAATCCCGTGGACAGAGGAGCCTGGTGGGCTACAGTCCATGGGGTCACAAAGAGTCAGACACTACTGAGCGACTAACACAGACAGCCAGAATTTCTGCTTTGTCAGTGAGCCAGACAGCTAATGTCTACGCTACCTTCTCTTTTGAGAAGGCTGTTACCTGGGAAGCCAAACTAATCAGCAGGAAGCAGAGAACCTGAGGTCATTAGATGTTTGAGGTGTTCAGACTAGTCCGAAGTGCCGAAGCCCAGCTGCTGCCAGGACTGGCTTCTCTTGGGTCTTTTCTCTGATAGGAAAATCTGGCAAACATGGCAGAAGGTGAACCTGCTCTCCTTCAGCGAGGTCGGAAGTCTCCTGACTCATTCTTTCCCTCCATGTCTCCAATTTAAAAACTGTGTTCTTTTCAGATTTTAATTCAGACACATTCACACTTGAAGGCTGGGAATAAATATTTTCCCTCTCGTTTCTCTTCTTCTCCACCTTTTGTAAAATTTTTTGGGGAAAGTAGTAAGTGTACGTGACAAAAAATTCAAATCCTACAAAAAGACCACATTGTCCAAAATAAAGCTCCCTTCTCCCTTCATTTTCCTTCCCAAGAGGCAAATGCTCTTAACAGCTATATTGTCTCTCTTTGCAAAGATGTTCTGTTTATCGTTTTTTTATTTTTTTTAAAGCACAGATATTCTACAGATCATTGTATACCTTTACTTTTTAACACTTGACATATTTGAAGATGGGATCAGATTCAACATGTATAAGCTCTTTGTGGACATTTCATATACAGTTGCTACCAGGGAATTCCATATTGCCAAGATAATATGAAGGTATAGAGGATAATTTTAGTCATTTTCATGTTTTCTTTTAGCTTCCTCTCCCTTCTTTGCATCCCCACACGATAAAACTAGGGTCTCTAATGCTGGCTGTATTTTCTGTGTTTATACTCGGTGAGGCTGTACTGCCCAGGACCTCTGAGAGTCCTGGAACTCTCCTGGGATATGTGAGCCTGGGGTGGGCCGTTTACTTTCCCAGCCTCTGCACTGGATCAGCGGTTGCTAGAAATTGAGTGTCAGTTCTGTTTGGTCTTCCTCCTGGGCTTTCAGTACCCCTTAGGATCCCGAATATTTTTTTTTTTTTTAATGTAGTGCTGTTTGAATTTGTACAGTTCCTTAAATAGCTATGATAAAAATATAAACTTTCAGGAAGAATTCAAGATGTTGCTTTTGTGAGCTTACTAGAAAGGAGGTTTTAGTTTGGGATTCCTAGTTATTTCTGTGAAAAGTAGTCACCTTTTAGTTCCAATAAAGTCTTGACAGTTTCAGAGGAAACTGTTGAAAGTGAAAGCTTTGAAAGAGGGGATTGGTGGTGAGGTGGGTGGGGCGGGACTAATGTATAGTGTGTGTTTATCTATGAGACACAGGTCATTGCTTTGTCTGTGGCTCTTAATCTTACTGGCTTTACCCCCACAAACATTTACCTTCCCTGTTTCATTTCAGATTTTCTTCCCAGTACATTGACCCTTTTCTCTGTTCAGGTTTCCCACATCCTGCTTCCCTCCCACTAACATTTGTTCCTGTGTTGATGTTTTCTAACATGTAGAGTGTTCTGGAACTTCTTTGTGTTATAATAACAAGTAATCTTTCTTGGCATGGTGTTTAACTGAGCTAGTTTTCATATATCAATAGAAACCGCCATTTTAAACCTAAGTACTTCTCTTTGGTTTGCTTTTATAATGAGGCCATAAAAATTTTCTCCTATTCATCTAGCTTTTAGAGAGTATTAACCAAGAGCAAAGAGATACTGGCTTGTACTTAGCATCCAAGCTAATGTTGTTCGTATTGTCTTACTAGAACACCTGGAGAGTGCAAGTTCTAACTCAGGTATCCCAGCTGCACAGAGAGGTGAGTTTGTCTAATTAAGCAAATAGTCACCAAAGGTGTGAAATTCTAGTGTGGTGGTGCATAAGCATACAGACATTGAAGAAATGCACTGGACAATGGAATAGACACCAGAATGTGGCTTTATTGTAGTTAGATTGTATAATTGAAGTAATATTTATGCCATCTAGCATTTTAATAGTGTTCCAGTTTCTAAAGATAAGACTTTAGCTTTTTAATATTATTTTTTAGCTCAACAGTAGTAAAAGATATTCTTTTGAAAAGGAGAACTTGTTGGGCTTACACTTGATCCTCACTCCATGTTAATAGAAGCTTTGTTGCCAAAATCAGATGTGGAAATAGAATATTGATAAAAATGACCCTTTGGCTTTCTTGTTACTACTGGTAGAAAGAAGATATTTTGCAAAAAATAAGTTAACTAGTGATTTTTTTTCATGTATTCTTTAACATTTGATTCTCATTCTTTTTTTTTTTTATTTCAGGGCAAAAATAGGGCAAGGAATATTCACAAAGTTCTGATTATAAATTAAAGTCCTAAGTATAAACAGCTAAAAACAGTGTGAAATAAAAAGAAAGAAAAGAAGTTAGTTAAAACGTAGCATGTGACCCTTTCCTTGATCTGGGTAGACCCACCCGCTTCTGTTCCCCCTAAGAGACCACACAGCTCTGACATCACCAGAGGTGCTCAGCCAACCAACAACTTGGTTTTGGACAAATCAGTGTCTAAAGCTTGACTCTTTACTATCTCTCTCACCTGACTTGAAAAGGACCACCTTTCCCCCTAAGTGACAGTTAAATTACATCATCGAGAGGAGTGTTGTGACGAGTATGAGACGTCATCCATATTTTTTCTTTGTTTTTTTCTTTTGTTTTCTGTCTGTGTTTTCAGCAACGTCAGTTGATTACAGTTCCTTTGCAGACAGATGCAGCAGCTGGATAGAGCTCATTAAACTGAAAGCTCAGACCATAAGGCGCGGATCAATTAAGACAAGTAGGCGGATGTTTCTACCACATTGTGATTTGAGAAGCATATCCCTGATTTCCCAGTGGTGAAGGCTGGCCCTGACTACTCAGTAATAACATCGCCAATCAGTCATGTGTTGGAGTGTGAAAGCTGCGGATGTTAATGGTCATTTAGCAAAAGCTTTTGAAGGGCCTTTAGATGTTTAAATTGTAGCTGCAGGGTTGTGGTTTTAGTATTTTATTTTGGTGAAGGTATTCTTAGAAGTATATAAATAGATATTATGTCACATAGTGGAAGGAAATTAATGAGCTTTTATTGAAGAGACACTCTTGCAGGGCCCAAGGTACTCGGTAGTATATGGCATCTGTCAGATTACTAAGAGTGATGTCTAGCGTGAGAATAGAAGGTATCTCCAGAGAGAAAGTGGCCAACTCTTATCTTACTGCTAGACTCAGCATCAGGACTTAGATTTTTTTTTTTTAATCTATACTCCATGTGTTTTGGTAGACTTTGAGGTAAATGTATTTGAGTGAAAGAGTTCACATTAAAGGGAAGGAACTGTGTTTAGGGGGAAGCTCACAGGCTGTGGAACCAACCAGATCTGGTTTTGAATCCTAGAAGTGCCATTTTAATAGCTGTGTGACCTTGGCAAGTTATTTAAGTTTTGTGAGCCTTAGTTTCCTCATGTGTTAAATGGGGATGATGACACCTATGTTGCTGGGTTGTTGTGAAAATTATACACACACACACACGTGTGTGTGTGTGTGTGTGTGGTTCATGGTAGTTATTTGATAAGCAGTAGGTATTTGTTATTTTATGAACAATTAACTTGTAGACAGCCAAGGTCATTTGCTAAATTTTTTAAATTACAACTTTGGTCGAGAAAGTTTGGAAAAGAAACCTGCTACAACTAGTTAAGATAAGGTTTATCTACAAGTTGACAATGATGAAGTCGTCTGAAAAAAAGATGGAAAAAACTGCACTGGGAAATTTAACAACTTTCACACTCTTGTAATAATTTGTTCCTACAGCAGATAATTTTTAATGCTCTACCGCTTTTTCTTTGTCTTCACTTTATAACGATCATTGTGTGTGTAGCTGCACCGCATCGACATTTTCTTTTGCAGGAATGCCATTTTTTCTTCCCAAAGATTCCATTCCAGCATTTCCTCTTACGTTTTTCTTTCTCTCTCTCTATTTGTAATTGCATGCAGTGCATGATAATTTCTTTACTTTCATGACATGGCTTAGCCTCACAGACAGCTGAATGTTGTCACCACTTATTTGGAAACACTAGGGAATCATTGAGTCACCAACATGTGATCTTGATGCTTTCTCTTCTTCTTCCAATTTTAGCAGTGACAGTTGAAAAAGCAAGTCCAATGGGTGAAGGAAACTTCCGGAATCGTTCTGCTCCACCTTGTGCAAATTCTACCGTTGGGGTTGTTAAGATGACACCTCTTTCTTTCATTCCTGGAGCAAAAATAACAAAATATCTTGGGATAATTAATATGTTTTTTATTCGGGAAACCACTTCTCTACGTGAGGTAAATTTATAGTTGTTATTTCTTTGTGTTTGTGAATTTTCTGTGGTTGAAAGTATTAGTATCAAAACCAAACATGTTTCAAATTGTTTGTTGTTTTTCCAAAAGTAACACACACACACACACACACACTTTTTTCTGTAACCTGTCTGGATTGGCTGTAGATTAGGCTCCGATGGTAAAAGTGTCTGCCAGCAATGCAGGAGACCCAGGTTCAATTCCTGGGTCAGGAAGATGCCCTGGAGAAGGAAATGGCAACCCACTCCAGTATTCCTGCCTGGAAAATTCCATGGACAGAGGAGCCTGGTAGGCTATAGTCCACAGGGTCCAAAAGAGTTGGACATGACTGAGCGACTTCACTTTCACTTTCAGTATTATCGCAAGAGTTGTGTTGGGTTTAAATTCATTTGTTATTAGAAGTTACAGATCCTTATCACATGGTAAATTAAAGAAAAATAAATGTATCCATGTTTGACAGAGGTTTAAAACAGCCCTGAAAGAATAGCTTAGTTTCTCAGTAGGTATTTGCCTGAGATGGATTTAAATGGCAATTTTTAACAGTTCACATTAAGAAATAGTAGGGGACTGTATGCTGAACAGATGTCTTTGGAGATTTAGTCCAAATGATTTAGATTTCTATCATTTAGTTCTGTTATTTTCTCCTGACAAAGGAGAAGGAGGCTGCTTATTTCCTTCTCTAGCCATCAGTGCATGAAAATGTTGTTTGTTCAAGTTCTTACCTCACACTGGGTATCATTAAACTTTAATTTGTTTTTGTTTTTTAAATAACAGCAGTTATAATCTCTTGCTTGATGAAGTCAGAATTAAGAGTCAGAGTCAGCCTATTATATCTTGCATTACAGAGGAATTTAAACTCAGGAAAAGATTTTATTTCTATCTGTCTTATGTTTCTTGAGCAGGGCTGCTAAGCAAATTAATATAGTGAGTAGGGAAAATTTTTACTAATTTAAGTGTGAAACCCAATAAACTCTTCAAAATTTACTTTAGCAGAAGTTTGTATTTTTAAAAAGTGTGTTAATTATAAATACAACTTAATTGTGTCCCCCCCTCCCCCCATTGTTTCACCAGCAGTGTTTCTATGCCTTCTTGGAAATAGCAGCCTGCTTACTAACCTCAGGCTCACCCTTCTGCACCTAGCATAGTGCCTGGTAGAGAGTAACCGCAAGTCGTTTTTGTGTAAATGAGGGAGTGACTTCTGACAGATTAATTAATTCGATAGATGTTTCCTTTAAGAAAAATTATTTTTACAACCATATTCTAATTGTGTTGAGATGGAAAAGAAACTATCTCAAGATAGTCTCAAAAACCTTTTAATGTAGAATTAAAGTAGGCAACACTTTTAAATCCATTAAAGTTTGACAAAGGAATTTGGGTTTGAGAAGCTGGCATAGATTGGTGAATTAACCTTTTCCAGTTGCGCATGGATATTGTACTGTCGAATCCATAAAATTTTCTTTCCAAAAGTGTCTTTTCAACTGCTGAAGCCACCATTCCCTGAAATGTTGCTTCACAGATTTCCCTTCAGCAGAGGTTTATAATATCAGCTATAGTATAGTTAATAGTATAATATGTAGTGAATGCATACATGTGGGCTAAGTTGCTTCAGTTGTGTCTGGCTGTTTGCAACCCTATGGACTGTAGCCCACCAGGCTCCCCTGAACATGAGATTCTCAAGGAAAGAATACTGGAGTGGGTTGCCATACTCTACAGGGGATCTTCCTGACCCAGCGATTGAACCCACGTCTCTTATGTCTCCTGCCTTGGCAGGCGGGTTCTTGACCACTAGTGCCGCCTGAGAAGCCTGTATATAGTATAATATCTGAAATTTGTTCATTCCTTGTTGAGTTATTTGCTTTCAGTTATGTAATATTAGAATTTACCCATCTGTAGTATCTGTTACTCTAAGAATGTTTTGATTTGATATGTAAGAGGAAAACTGATAAAAGTAGAAAAAAAGACTGTCCTGGACTGTGATTGAGTCAGAAGCAGGCTGAAGCAACTCCTTTAATTCCTTAATGACAAACTCTATGTAGGATCCTGTAACTTTTCAGAAAAATGTGACCTAGACAAATGCTTTTTCTAACAGTGTTAAATTTTGCCCTTACCTTCCAATTTAAAGTTGGACATTTCTTCCTAGGCTGTAAAAAACCTTCAGTAAAATTTGTGGAAAATTTAGATTGTAAAGCATTTTAAGCTATTAGCTAGCCTTTGGTTTCTGTCTTGTTTGGTTTTGAACACTGCAAAAGTTCCCCAAACTGTTGGATTTCTTTGCATGACAAATACATATAGATCACTGGACACATGCACCTGTTGAAGTAGGTGTTAGTGTATATAGTTGTGAGCATAGCAGATGCAGTCCTGGCATGATGGAATTTAGTGGACAGTAAATAATCATCATAGAGTAAATAGATAGCTCTTCATAAGTCATATAAAGAAATACAACGAGGGCTCTCAGAGAATATTAACAGGAGAAGGTAATTTAGGTCTGATAGGGGAGATTTCTCTGAAGAAGTCACATGCAAGTTACCCTGGTGGAAAATTGGGTGTGGGCCCTTCATGTACAATGACCCCGAGGCTGGAAAAGGTGTCAGACCTTCAAGAAACTGAAAAACACGAGTGCAACTTGGAACATGGTTCATTTTCACAGTGGGAGATACGGATAGCGGGGAAGTCACATTGTTTATATTTACCATCAGTTTATTTGAATGATGATGGGAACGGTTTCATGGAGGGAGGTGTTGACAATGGACGAACAATTAGAACTCTTGCTCTGCCATCTGTCCACTAGCTCTGTGCTCCACCTTCATCATGGGCGCGTCACATGAGCTTCAGTTTCATCTTCTCTAAAATGAAAATAGTAGTCCCTGTTGGGATTATGACACAATTTAGTGACTGAACACCAACAATAATCCCTGTTGTAGACATGTGTTAGGTAAAGGTTTTTTCATTCATGCAACAAATCTGCATGGTGAAGGAAATTAAAATGGCCATCCATTATAGTAAGATCACTTAAATTGTTTTCACATATATTCTTTGATGACGTAAGTTCACTTACGCAGGCCTAGAGTTTTGTTTTCTTGTGCATTATCCTTAGGAAGGTGGAGTCAGCGGTTTTCTGCACGCTTTCATCGCTGAAGTGTTTGCAATGGTGCGGGCACACGTCGCTGCGCTGGGAGGGAACGCTGTCGTCTCCTACATAATGAAGCAGTGTGTCTTCATGGAGAATCCAAACAAAAACCAGGTGAGGTGGACTTCAAACCTCCGATGCGGAGACCCTACGAATTTCCCCCATGGCCTTTCCCCCTCCCACCCTCCTCCAGAAAAGAGAATTGCTCCTCAGAGCTCTTTGATTCCAGAGGCTGAAAACATATTTTAGTAAATATGTTGGTAACTGGTCATACATAGGTCAGGTGCTATTTTCACATCCCCAGTGACGAAGTTATTAGTCTGAAATACCTCTGGAAGTTTTGCTCCTAAACTACTTTTCCCACCACCTTCTTGGGGGATAGTCTTTGGGATCCTGTGATGGCTAATGGAGGACAGTTAAAGACACCCTCTGGTTTGAGCTGTGATGCTGTCCACTTCTGACTGCCCTGCTGGTGAAGAGTATGTCCTGATGGGGCCACACTGTTAATTCTAATAAGTAATATAATTCTGTTAATGGGGACAGGGGAGCGTTGCTTAGGTTAAATTTTAGAACAGATTTCTCTTATCAGCTTTGTTAACATAATAATTCACTTGGAACTGTTAAAGATGGTCCTTTAAAAAATTAAATAACTATATTAATGAATTTTTTTTGTTTCCCCTCCTATGCATTGCCTTCTTATCCTTTGCTCATTTTTTTCTTGGACTGTATGCTTTTTTCTTCTCTACAACGCTGCCCCCAGGGTAACGGGAGAGTATGGGTGTGTTACTGAAATGTGACTGAAATGTCCTGTTATTCTTTTAGGCACAATGTCTTATAAACGTCAGTGGTGATGCAGTGGTTTTTGTTCGCGAATCTGAATTAGAAGTGGTGTCTGCTCAGCAGCCTGCTGCCAATTGCCAGCCCTCATGTCCTGGAGGAGAAGTCACAACCTGAAGTCAAGTAGAAAGAAAGAGTGCAACTAAATGTCATTCATCAGTCTCCTTTGTCTTTCATTTATCGTACTAGACGTAAAAAATGAACTTAATAATATGAGAGAATGAAGAAAGAATTGATCCCATATGAGGATGTTTGATTTGAATGGGATCACTTGGAGGCATGAGAATTTTCAAATCTTGACTTTTTTTTTTTTTTACCAAGGCTAGACAGGCCTCATAGAGGCTCGACTCCCCAGGAAGTTCAGATAAATTTCTCTGAGAACTGTAGCAAAGATGCAAGCTATTTATAATTTATGTTGATTTTAATAAAACCATAATTTAAATTATCAGGAAATTAGGCTAGCTATCCTGGTGTAATTTATAAAAATTAAGAAATTAACAAATTGTTAATAAGTAATCTGATTTGAGGAATGTATGGGGAAAATGGAGAAAAGTTTTCAGAAAACTGTGAGTTTATTAATGTGTCATTTTGATGAGGAATTTGGTAACCACTAAAAGGGAAAAGTGCTTTAGCCATCTTTGAAAAAGAAGTTAAACTTCTATGACTTGTATCCTAATTGCTGCAAAAGTATAATCTGTTTATCAGAGCCAGTGTCCTTTCATTGGAAGCTTAATAATATCTCTAAGGAAGAAGGAAAAAAATTACTTTATAACTTCATTTTTACCCAAGTTTTAGTTTGTGTTTAATTTTTCTGGAAGGGGCTTGGCTTCAACTGGAAAGAACAGGCCAGTGATTTTTGTTGAAGTAGTTAAAATGTGATCTAGTTGGAACATAAAATTATTTTCTAATAAGGTCATACTGAACTCCTACCAAATAGACAGAATTTTAGTACTATCTTATTAGGGTTTTGGGGTGGTGAGGTAGACTGTATTTGGCATAGAATTTGGAAATGTAACTTGAATGTAAATATGCTCCAGAATGTTGAATGTATAGATAGAAATACGTGTTGTTGTTTTTTTTTGTCAATGCCAAATACATATTACAAATGAACCTTTAAAAGTACATTCCTCCTTTGGATAATAAAATTTCTTTATGAAACTCATGATTTTGCTCTTACAGGATAACAACTGCCCTAAAGATTAGGAGTCATTTCCTTGTTATCACAGGTGTCAATATTTTTCTGTATTTTGTTTATAATTTTATTTTTTAAATAAAAGGTTTTATAAACTGGAATATTCCTCAATCTGTTTTTTTGCCTCTTTGTAGTATTGTCAGTGGTCAGAAATCACTTTCCATGTGATCATCTTCATTTCTTTAGCAATCATCTGTTATATGTCTGTTCTTCATTTGGAGGGGAAATACATTTGTAATTGTGCTACTTTCATTGTTGTTGGTAGGAAACCTGCACTGTTAAGTGAGAAAACATGTGAAGCTTGGGATGAAGGTGGCTTCCCCAAGAGGATAATACTTAAGCTCATTCTGGAAAAATAGACAGGTACTTGGAGTCGACTGACTTGTTCATAGTTTTATCCATCCATTCAGCAGCTATTTTGTGATTGCTGAGTATGTTTCTGAGTTCTTTCTGGGCGGGGGTTACTAATGTAACTCACTGGTTGAGTACCTGTTTTGTGTCACATCCTGCACGAATTGCTCTTGTTGGATCACTAAGCCATGTTTGACTCTCTGCGACCCCATGGACTGCTGCATGCCTGGCTCCTATCCACCACTACGTTCCGGAGTTTGCTCAAATTCATGCCAGTTGAGTCAGTGATGCTCTCTGCTAGCTGTCCGGACCTCTGCGCTCCCCTTCTCTTTTTGCCTTCAATTTTCCCCAGCATCAGGGTCTTTGCCCATGAGTCAGCTCTTCCTATCAGCTGGCCAAAATATTGGAGGTTCAGCAACAGTCCTTCCAATGAATATTCAGGGTTGATTTCCTTTTGGTTTGTGCATATACCTTATTACTAATGTTTAAAACATAATACTGGCTGTTTTTGTTTTACCTTTTGAGACCAAAAAGTATTTCCATTTTGGTCTCAACATTTGGATACTTCACAGAGGCACAGACTGATTTCTAGGAAAGCTCGAGTTTCTATGACTAGGCAGGTTTTCTGTCTGCTGACACGGGCCGTTTGCTCAGTGTGGGTCACGTGCGAGGCACAGTCAGCCATGCCAGAAATGGCTGCTTCCGGAAAGGCTGACGTGACCTGGTGCCCAAAGAGCTGCTGCTGTTCCTTGTGTGTGAATCCCCTCAGAAACATCAGTTTAGACAAACGTACTGGGACTTAATTTTTTGGAAATATTGAGGCCAGTGACAGGACTTATAGCACACCTCTCATTCTCTATTGTTACTCCAAAGCTTAAACTGCACAATTTATCCAATCCTTTGTTAGATTTGCTGAACTCACTGTCCCACTTCCTCACCGCCTGTGTGTGTTTAGTCGCTCAGTTACCTCCAAGTCTCTGTGACCCCATGGACTGTACCCCACCAGGCTCCTCTGTCCATGGAATTTCCCAGGCAAGAATACTGGCGTGGGTTGCAATATTCTCCAGGGGATCCTCCCGACCGAGGAATCGAACCTGCATCTCTTATGTCTCCAGCATTGTAGGAGGCTTCTTCACCCGCTGAGCCATCAAGGAAGCCCTACTCTGCCATAACCCATCACCATCAGGTTTCCATCTACCCCTAAATTTGAACTTGCCAAGGATGCAAGTATTGGACTGCAGTATCAGGTAGCTAAGGAGCTTCATGCATAAAATTTTTCATAAATGCATAAATTAGATCAAGTACCTATTTTTTAATTGGTGTTTTCTTTTTACCTTTTCACCTGGTTTTCTTTTCCCCATCTCATCCCTCCCAATCCATGTTAATAACCTAGTATGTATCTTACATATTAAAATATGCTAATGAATTATAATTTACATTCAATAAAATTTTTAAGTGTACAAGTCAAAGTTTGACAAATAGATGCAGTTGTGTGACCAAGATAACATTTCATCACCCAGGAGAATGCCTTGTGCCCCTTTGCAATCAGTTAACTTACCTCCTCCACGTAAATAGGATCTTGTGCTTTGTAACTTTCACTTAGTATGATGTTTTCTAGATGCATACCATTTGGACAACATTTTTGGCTATTATGAATAAAACTTTTATTTAAGTTCACACTTTCTTGTGAAAGTTGTATTTCTGTTCTATGGGGTCTTTCAAAGTGTACTTTGAGAATCTGATCTAAGCTCTGGAACTTTTCTCCAGAAAAATAAGCACAGAGGTGAAATTTTGCACACTATTTCAGGTTTGTTGAAGCCCCACCAGTGAGCTCAAGTTAAATTTAGTACAGGCCCCAGGTGGCGCTGGGGGTGAAGAACAATGCAGGAGACACAAGGGGCGTGGCTTCCATCTCAGCATGTGGAAGACCCCCTGGAGGAGGGCATGGCAACCCACCCACGTATTCTTACCTGGAGAATCCCATGGACAGAGAAGCCTGGTGGGCTACAGTCCATGGGGTCGGAGTCAGACGTGACCGAAGCAACTTAGCACAGTACAGCATATGGAGGGGAATAAGGAACCAGGCTGAAGGAAACATTAGGAAGATTTGGGTAAATCCTGTCCTAAAATGTTTGCCTCTTCTCCAGTAGAAAAGACACTTTTAAGATTAGAAATTTAAATATTTGAAAGATGTATATTTATGGTAGGCAGGATGATGTCCCCCCCAGCCTCCCACCTCCCAGCAAAGATGTGCACAGCCTAACCTCCAGGGCCTGGGAATATATTACCTTATGTGACAAAAGGGACTTGGCAGATAGGGTCAAAGCTAAAGACCTAGAGATGGGCGAATTATCTAAGTTTATCTGTGAGAGTCCTAGAACCTAATCTTTCTTCTTGAAAGTCAGCAATGGCAGGTTGAGTTTACCTCTCAAGAGGGATAGGAGACTAGGTCAGAGAAATTCTTTGAGAGGTGAACTCAACCTGCCATTGCTGACTTTCAAGAAGAAAGAAGAGAGCTATAAACCAAGGAATGTCGGTAGCATCTCAATGCCGGGAATGGCCACCAGCTGACAGTTAGCCAGGAAGCAGGGTTCTCAGTTCCACACCTGCAAGGAACTGGATGTGGCTTCACCTCAAATGGAGGAGGAAACGGATCCTTCCTTTGAGCCTGCAGAAAGGAACAGAGATCTCAGCCAAAGGCTTGGTTTTAGCCTAGGGAGACCCACGTCAGACTTAATGACCTGTGGAACTGTAAGATAAACTTGTATAAGTCACTAACTTTGTAATCGTTTTTTAGCAGTAGGAATAGTAAACTGATACCAGTTCTCATAAGTTTAAACAGAAGAGATACAGTTCAAATATCAAATACAGTGCTCTCAATGAGCGACTAAGCGCAGCACATGGTAATACCATCTAATACAAAATGCTTCACTCACTCAAGGTACGAATATAGCTGTATCTCTTTTGTTTGCCAATTTATTTTTTAATACTCACTGACTAAGCAGAAATTCATGATCTCCAGTCTTTGACGTTGCCTTCAATTCTAGGTCTCGGTCCCCAGAACGCTCAGCTCCCAGAACCTCTTTGTCTTGCATTTGCCTCTCACTGCCGCACGGTGTCACTGTTGTAACAGGTTCCACACAGTAGAGCCGAAGATGCTGGTTTTCCTGTGGTGAGGATGTCAAACTGGCCAAGACGCGCATGTATGTTTCCAGGATTCTTTAGCAAGTAATTTTCTTCATACCTGCTCCATCTGAGGAAACCTGCCAAGATTCACTTCATGGTGCTCAACTGTTTATTGAGTTCTGAGAGTTACAAATTCAGGTTGTTGTTGTTGTTTTTTAATATGTATTTTACAAACATTTCCCCTCAGTCTGTGGCTTATTTTGCATTCTTTAAACCTTATCTTCTGAGGAATAGAAATTTTAAATTTCAATGAGATCTAATTCTTTTTTTTTCTTCTGTAATTTGTGTGGTGTTCTAAGAAATTTTTGCCTAATGAACCTCGAAAACATTTTCTAGAAATCACAGTTTTTGCCTCTACATTTAAGTACATGATCACTTCAATTTACATTTGTGTATGGTATAAGGTAGGGGTCAAGGATTTGTTCATTCTTTCATTCCTTTGCTTGCATATGGATGTTGAATTGCTCCAGCAATGACAATGTTGACTAGCTTTGCTACTCTGGATTGACATGGCCTCTTTGTTGAGAACTGATTTTTTAGTATATACAAATATAATTGATCTTTTACATTGATATTGCATCCTGCATCCATGTATTAATTCTATTAGCTTTTTCTGTATTTCTTTGGAGTTTTTAGGTAGAGAATCATTTTTGTGACGGTACATGGGGACAGTTTTATTTATTCCTTTGAACCTAGTGTATATTTATTTTTCTTGTTCCTTACTTAATTGGCTTTATTAGTAATTATCTTATTAAATTATTAAGTATAATGTAGAATGATAAGAGTGGATATTCTAACCTTATTCCTGATCTCAGGGGGAGAAGCAGCATCTTTTTAAAGAAACAGGTTTTGGTTTCATTGATTTTTTCTCTACTGTTTTTTCCTCTGTTTTCAGACTCTGTTATTTGTGTCTGCTCTTACCTTTATATTTCCTTCCTTATATTTGCTTTTGGTTTAATTTTCTCTTATTTTTCTAGTTTCTTAAGGCTGAAGCTTAGATCATGGATTTGGGGCCTCTTTTCTAATATAAAATTGAATATGACACATTTTTCTCCTTTAAGAGCCTCCTTTAAGGGGCTCCCCAAATTTTGATATTTTTTCTTAAATTTGAAATAGTTCACAATTTTCCTTTTAACTTCCTCTTGGACTAATGAGTTGTTTAAAAGAGTGTTGTTTAATTTCCAAATATTTAGGGATTTTTCCAGTTATTTTTTTGTGGTGATAGCCAGATTGAGTCTTTCAGTGATTCTGAAGTTTATAATACATGATGTTGACTGTAATAACTATGCTATGCATTGGAGCTCCAAGACTTACTTACCTGTTGTTTGCAAGTTTATACCCTTAAAGAGCATCTCCCCAATGCCCCCACTGGTTCCCCATCCTGGGCTCTGATAACCACCATCCTGTTCTGTTTTTATGAGTTTGACTTTTTATTTTAAAATGTTTACTATTTATTTAGCTTATTGATATAATTGATATGTAAACTTGTGTAAGTTTAGGGTGCACAATTTTTGATTAATTTGATACATTTATATATTGCAATATGATTGCCACCATACTGTTA